CATTGCTGACGCCCTCACCCGACCATCCATGCAGAACGCGGCGGTACTAATCGCCCATACCAACCCGATGCTGACGGGACTATTCACCCACGGCTACAAGATTGACAGGTTTTTCAAGAACCGGCACCAACAGGTTGCCAAGCAACACGGCAAGTACTACCTAAAAGCCGGTACGAACCGGATTTGGGTACCCGCCTACCAGCCTTTACGGGAGTTGCTGACGCAGGAGGTACACGACTCCAACCTTTCCGGGCATTTCGGCATCGACAAAACACTGAAGCTGCTGCAGCGGAATTATTTCTGGCCGGATATGCTCACTGACGTGCAGCGCTACGTGTCAACTTGCCCGACCTGCCAAGCGATGAAGTCGTCGCGACAAAGGCCAGCTGGACTGCTGCAACCCCTCGCGCCACCCGAACGACCGTGGCAACAGGTGACGATGGATTTCGTCACGGGGCTTCCAGCTGGCGCGAGTGGCAACGACTCGGTTATGGTCGTCGTCGATCGACTGACGAAGATGGCGCATTTCGCACCATGCCGCACGACGATCACAGCCGAAGATACCGCAAAACTCTTCATCTCCACCGTCGTACGCCTACACGGGTTGCCTTCGGCGATCATCAGCGATCGGGATCCGAAATTTACGTCGAAGTTCTGGCAGGAGACGTGGGCACAGTACGGCACCCGCCTGCAGTTTTCGTCGTCATACCACCCGCAGACCGACTGACAGACAGAACGGACAAATCAAACCATGGAGCAACTGATTCGCACAAACTGCCCGGACATTCGCAAGTGGGAGGACTCGCTGCCGATGCTGGAATTCGCGTACAACAACGCCCCTTCGGCCACGACTAAACAATCGCCCTTCTACCTGAATTACGGGATAGACCCCGTGGTACCCTCATCAACGACACTGGACAACCCGGTACCACGATCGTAGCAGTTTGTCACGGAACTACAGACAGCCCGCAAAAAGGTAGGTGGTTTTTTTCGTAAAGCTAATACCACGGCCAGCAGCCAGTCGGACAAGCATCGCCGGGATTTACCCTTTCGAACAGGGCAAGTCGCCCTTCTGGACACCAAGAACCTACGCCTGCCGCAGCCGGCGAAATTACGGCCCCGATACGTGGGACCATTCCGAATCGTCCAGATGTTGACACCTATCACCGCAAAGCTGTTGGTGCCCGACGACTGGAAGATACATGATGCATTCCACGTCAGCCTGCTGCGCCACTACGAACAGCCGCAGTCGCCAGCTGTCGCTCGGCCAACCATCGCGCCGACCACACGCCCCGTGGCGGAACCCACGCTCGAGCCTTGGAAGATTCTGAACCATCGCGTGGAGCTGACTGCCGCCGGCCGCTCGGTCAAATTCCTTCTTCGCTGAAAAGACCGCACAAGCGAGGACGACACGTATGTCGCAGCTGCCTCGCTACAGGGACATCCGGTTGTGGATGCTTACCTGGCCCGCCGAGGTGTCTCGGATATCCACCAAATTTCTTAAGGGGGGGGGTAGTGTAAGGAATTTTCTCGGATTCCTTACTGGGTCACACTGTACGCGTACAACCCCGGTTTTCGGAAATCCAGGCTCGGTCCGCCGACCTCGCCTTCCGAACCATCACCGCGTCGCCTTCGGGTTTCCCAACCCCGAACCTGCACCCAACCATCTCGCGACCTCGCGACCTCGGCCTAGCTAGCATTGCTATATTAGTTCTAGGCCTCGTTGTTCCCTCAGACGTTGTAATCACTTCCGCGTTATTGAATTCTACGCACTCTTCCTTTCACAACTCATAACATAATTCCTACATTCATGGTTGTAACTGAAATGCTCCCTTTTCTATTCCTTGGTTACATTGGTTAAACTCATAAAAGGGTCCTATATTTATTAGTGCATTAGGCTAACGGGGTCCTAACAGTTGGGAGGATGATAACGGCTGGATTGTATGGGCCCTTGCACGGCACGGTACGGTACGGCACGGTATGTTTCTGCACGTTGACTTGAATCCAGGAGTACGGACGGTATGTACCTGGCGCTGCTACCTCACGGGAGCCGACGTGACAATTCGAACCGACCACAAATCGCTACAGTACATGCGCACGCAACTGACACTCAACCCACGACAAATCCGATGGTTGGACTTCCTCGAGTCCAATTTTCGGTACACCATTACGTACAAGAAAGGCGCCAACAACATTGCTGACGCCCTCACCCGACCATCCATGCAGAACGCGGCGGTACTAATCGCCCATACCAACCCGATGCTGACGGGACTATTCACCCACGGCTACAAGATTGACAGGTTTTTCAAGAACCGGCACCAACAGGTTGCCAAGCAACACGGCAAGTACTACCTAAAAGCCGGTACGAACCGGATTTGGGTACCCGCCTACCAGCCTTTACGGGAGTTGCTGACGCAGGAGGTACACGACTCCAACCTTTCCGGGCATTTCGGCATCGACAAAACACTGAAGCTGCTGCAGCGGAATTATTTCTGGCCGGATATGCTCACTGACGTGCAGCGCTACGTGTCAACTTGCCCGACCTGCCAAGCGATGAAGTCGTCGCGACAAAGGCCAGCTGGACTGCTGCAACCCCTCGCGCCACCCGAACGACCGTGGCAACAGGTGACGATGGATTTCGTCACGGGGCTTCCAGCTGGCGCGAGTGGCAACGACTCGGTTATGGTCGTCGTCGATCGACTGACGAAGATGGCGCATTTCGCACCATGCCGCACGACGATCACAGCCGAAGATACCGCAAAACTCTTCATCTCCACCGTCGTACGCCTACACGGGTTACCTTCGGCGATCATCAGCGATCGGGATCCGAAATTTACGTCGAAGTTCTGGCAGGAGACGTGGGCACAGTACGGCACCCGCCTGCAGTTTTCGTCGTCATACCACCCGCAGACCGACTGACAGACAGAACGGACAAATCAAACCATGGAGCAACTGATTCGCACAAACTGCCCGGACATTCGCAAGTGGGAGGACTCGCTGCCGATGCTGGAATTCGCGTACAACAACGCCCCTTCGGCCACGACTAAACAATCGCCCTTCTACCTGAATTACGGGATAGACCCCGTGGTACCCTCATCAACGACACTGGACAACCCGGTACCACGATCGTAGCAGTTTGTCACGGAACTACAGACAGCCCGCAAAAAGGTAGGTGGTTTTTTTCGTAAAGCTAATACCACGGCCAGCAGCCAGTCGGACAAGCATCGCCGGGATTTACCCTTTCGAACAGGGCAAGTCGCCCTTCTGGACACCAAGAACCTACGCCTGCCGCAGCCGGCGAAATTACGGCCCCGATACGTGGGACCATTCCGAATCGTCCAGATGTTGACACCTATCACCGCAAAGCTGTTGGTGCCCGACGACTGGAAGATACATGATGCATTCCACGTCAGCCTGCTGCGCCACTACGAACAGCCGCAGTCGCCAGCTGTCGCTCGGCCAACCATCGCGCCGACCACACGCCCCGTGGCGGAACCCACGCTCGAGCCTTGGAAGATTCTGAACCATCGCGTGGAGCTGACTGCCGCCGGCCGCTCGGTCAAATTCCTTCTTCGCTGAAAAGACCGCACAAGCGAGGACGACACGTATGTCGCAGCTGCCTCGCTACAGGGACATCCGGTTGTGGATGCTTACCTGGCCCGCCGAGGTGTCTCGGATATCCACCAAATTTCTTAAGGGGGGGGGTAGTGTAAGGAATTTTCTCGGATTCCTTACTGGGTCACACTGTACGCGTACAACCCCGGTTTTCGGAAATCCAGGCTCGGTCCGCCGACCTCGCCTTCCGAACCATCACCGCGTCGCCTTCGGGTTTCCCAACCCCGAACCTGCACCCAACCATCTCGCGACCTCGCGACCTCGGCCTAGCTAGCATTGCTATATTAGTTCTAGGCCTCGTTGTTCCCTCAGACGTTGTAATCACTTCCGCGTTATTGAATTCTACGCACTCTTCCTTTCACAACTCATAACATAATTCCTACATTCATGGTTGTAACTGAAATGCTCCCTTTTCTATTCCTTGGTTACATTGGTTAAACTCATAAAAGGGTCCTATATTTATTAGTGCATTAGGCTAACGGGGTCCTAACAGTTGGGAGGATGATAACGGCTGGATTGTATGGGCCCTTGCACGGCACGGTACGGTACGGCACGGTATGTTTCTGCACGTTGACTTGAATCCAGGAGTACGGACGGACAAAACAGCGCACTTGCGTCAGGGCGTGTCACAAAAGTTAGCAGCGTCAATGATATGCTTGTTTCAGGACACGTCACAAATCCTTCGTCCGCGTCGGCTCGACAAGTGCCCCTTTTGCTAGACGTGTCTGTTCAACACCACCAACCGCTCTAACACGCAAACAGACCATTCTGACACGTAAAGCATCCAACCCCACCGCTAGTTAGTGGCTGCAGCGTCCTCAGCACTATTCTCTTGGGAATGACGAAACAAAAAGCTTGAGAAATTTTGATCCTGCTAGCTTCATGGATCCTCCTTTTCTGCCTACTTTCAGGTTCTAATTTCTATTGATAGAAGACACTCCAAGCTTCTGCTCTCGGTCGTTATCTCGGTAGAAATTCCATAGTCTCTAGCTAAGCGATTATTTCGTGTTGCAGTGGTTTGTGGTCGCGGACAGAAAATCACGTTATCGTCATCGCGCATATCGCAACGCTTTTCGCCACGTATGGCACCGACTAGTGTCGGGTCGTCAGATGCGGACGCAGCAGTCGCAGCAGTCGCAGGAGGTGCTGCGACATGCGAAGCAGCAGTAACGGCAGGGATAACAGCAGGAGAAACAGAACAAGCAGCAGCAGCATCAAACGGACCGACGACCGCTGAAACTAAGATGCCCGTGTCGTCTCCGTATGCTGTCACCGGTTCGAGTGAGAAGCAATCGCCGTGTGCTGGCACGAACGACATTAGAAGTAAAATACAGCTGAACCCTCTCGACTGGGCGTATCGCGGCGAAGGTTCCGCGAACATCGTCATGTCGTACTGCGGTCATGACCCTTCCCTGGTGAGCCGTCAATATCCTTTTCCACCCTCCCCCCCCCCCTCCCCCTCCGTCCCCCCTCCTTCCCTCCCCCCCGAAAAAACGAAACATTAGCAATGGTTAGCGTGTTGTTTTTCGAAGCCGTTAATAACGAAAGGCGGAAGAAAAGGTCAGCAGGAGGAACAACAACGAGTAAGGTGACTTACTGCCGCCATAACTCCCCTCACGTGCGCCTTCAGAAAGGCACGGTGCTGCGGGTGTGCGTGGAACGCCCCGATTCCCATCATCCTTGTCACTCACACTCGGACTCTCTGCCCCCACTGTTCTCTCCCTTACCTGCTTTCCCAAACCCCCTCGTACCCCAGAAAGGAATGGTGCTGCGGGTGTGCAAGGAACGGCCCGATTCCCACCACCCAGGAGCAGAGGTCGTGGCTGGAGAATCCCTATCCGGAGCTGGCTCGGCACCAGCCTCGGCGACAGGCTCGGCGGCAGGCTCGGCAGCAGGCTCGGTGCAACCCGAGCCTGTGCTGCGTCCGGAGGAGCGGGAGCTGTGGGGGGAAGTGGTGCCGGAGCTGGCAGTGGCTCCGGATCGCATCGACCTGCTGCATCAATTTGTGAAGAGGGTGATGGCTCCGCTCATTGGGGAAGAGTTTGTGGAAGCAGGGGTGAGTGGTTGAACTATGGAGACACGATGCTGCAGTGCAGACTACATTTCAGACATGCTGCATTCCTTGAGTCCGTGCTTGCGAGCTGGCAGGCAGTGGCTCGGGATCGAATCGACCTGCTGCATCAATACGTGTCTTGGGTGATGGCTCCACTCCAGTCGTAGGAGAGGCGCTGCTGCTCACGACTCTCACTCACTGCTCACACTCCTCACTCTCTCGCCCTTCCCCACTTCTTCCCCTCTTCCTTCCTGCCTTCCTGCGTCTCTGCCTCCCTCTCTTTCCTGCTTTTCTGCCTTGCCTGCCTGCCTGCCTGCCTGCCTGCCTGCCTGCCTGCCTGCCTGCCTGCCTGCCTGCTGGTGACGGATCTGACTCCCCTGCTCACACTCCCACTCACTCACCCGCCCCTCCCCACTGCTTTCCCTTTCCTTCCCGCCTGCCTGCCCTGCCCGCCTGCCCGCCTGGCTGTTTTCCTGCCTCCTGCTTACCCTCAGACGACAGTGAGGGTTCCTCGCAGCTTCCTGCAACAGGTGGCAGACCACATCCGCCCTAGGCGCCCGCCCTGGCGGCAGGCTCAGGGCGACGTGGACCTGCAGATAGGAGAGGCGCTGCTGGTCACGGATCTGACTCCCTAGCCCTTTTCCACCTTTTTGCTCCCTGCCTCCCTGCCTGCCTGCCTGCCTACGTGCCTGCCTGACTGCTTGCGTGCCTGCAGACGACGGTGAAGGTTCCTCGTACCTTTCTGCAAGAAGTAGCGGACCACATTCGTCCCAAGCGGCCCCCCTGGCGACAGGCTCAGGGCGACGTGGACCTGCAGATAGAAGAGGCGCTGCTGGTGCCGGATCTGACTCACCTGCACCTGGAGAACGAGGAGTGGGAGGAGGACTGGGAGGAGACGGCGCGGGTGCCCCGACTTGGGAGCTGCAGCGACTACAATGGCACCACTTTCTGCATTGAGCTCAAGGTGAGAGACGCTGAGAGGCGCTGCTGGTGACGAATCTGACTCACCTGCACCTGGAGGACGAGGAGTGGGAGGAGACGGTGCGGGAGGACCGACTTGGGAGCTGCAGCAGCGGTTACAATGGCACCACGTTCTGTATCGAGCTCAAGGTGAGGCTGCGAGAGGTGAAGGTGAGACGTGCTTGTGGTTGGTAAACAGGTGGGCTGGGGAGGGTTGGGGTGGGCTGGGGTTGGCTGGGGATTTGAAAATAGAAGAGGCGCTGCTGGTGACGGATCTGACTCACCTGCACCTGAAGAACGAGGAGTGGGAGGAGGACTGGGAGGAGACGGTGCGGGTGCCCCGACTTGGGAGCTGCAGCGATTACAATGGCACCACTTTCTGCATTGAGCTCAAGGTGAGAGACGCTGAGAGGCGCTGCTGGTGACGAGTCTGACTCACCTACACCTGGAGAACGAGGAGTGGGAGGAGGACTGGGAGGAGACAGCGCGGGTGCCCCGACTTGGGAGCTGCAGCGATTACAATGGCACCACTTTCTGCATTGAGCTCAAGGTAAGAGACGCTGAGAGGCGCTGCTGGTGACGAGTCTGACTCACCTACACCTGGAGAACGAGGAGTGGGAGGAGGACTGGGAGGAAACAGCGCGGGAGGGAGGGCACTGGACTGAGGGGTATAATGGCACGACTTTCTGTATCGAGCTCAAGGTGAGAAGTGCTTGTGGTTGGTGCACGGGTAAGTCGAGGAGTGGGAGGAGGACTGGGAGGAGACGGTGCGGGATGAGCGACTTGGGAGCTGCAGTAGCGGGTATAATGGCACGACTTTCTGTATCGAGCTCAAGGTGAGGCTGTGAGAGGTGGAAGGTGAAGGTGCTTGGTTAGGAGAGACGAAGGCCACTGGACCGGCGGGTACAATGGCACGACTTTCTGTATCGAGCTCAAGGTGAGGCTGTGAGTGCCTGTGGAAGATTAGCATCACAATGCGGAGGGGAGCTGAGGGGCTTGGGAGCTGGTGTGGGTATGATGGCATGACGTTCGGTATCGAGCTCAAGGTGAGGCAATGTGAAGGGGAGGCGAGGAGAGAGGAGGGGATGGGATGGGAGGGCGGAGAAATAGGGGAGGGGCTTGGGAGTTGTAGCGGGTACAATGGCACGACGTTGTGTATCGAGCTGAAGGTGAGGGCAATGTGAAAGGGAGGGGGCAGAGGATAACATGTGTGAGGGTGATGGAAGCTCCCTGTTTTTTTGTTTCTCTTCTCCTCAACCTTCGTTCTCTGCTCTTTTTCTTTTCTCCTTTTCCTCCCCCTTTCCCCACCCATTCCCCCCGCTCCACGCAACCCACGACTCGGATCTGTCCCTCCTCCCCCTGTCCTCATCTCCTTCCTCCTTCCTTCCCACTTCGCCCTCTCCCCAATCTCCCCCCCAGCCCAAGACCGGGTTCTGCCCCTCTTCCCCCTGCATCGCGCCGGCAAATCACGTGAAGACAGCTGTCGCCCGCTTCCCCATGCACCAGCAGCTGAAGCTGTCAGAGGGGGAGGTGGCAGAGAGCAGTGCGTACAACCCTCTAGACCTTTTCTCTTCCTCGCCCCCCCGCGTTCTGTCTGCTCTGAGAACGTTGATCGATAACCCGCAGAACAATCTGAGGATTTTTGCAGATGGGAAGTTGCTGTTGGGGGGGCATATACACAGGCAGGCGGACAGGGGGAAGGGGAAGAAGGGGAAAGATAAAGGGGAGAAGGGGGAGAAGGCTGAAAGAGTCAATTCGATAGATTTAGCAGCTATGAGAAGGGAAGAGAAAGCGCAGGAGGCAGCAGGCTTGGCTGCTGCGGAAGCAGCTCTGGAAGGGTTTGTACGTGCTTGGAAGGGGGAGGAGCCAAGCAGTAATACCAGTGCTGCTGGTAGCGGCGGCGGTTGTGGTGCTTCTGCTGCTGCTGCTGGCTTATCGGCAGTAGAATCACTGTCCTCCGCGCCTCATTTGAGTCACCCTCGGGTTGATGCTCTCCTGTCCCTGGCCACAGAGTGCCTCGTGCAGTGTGGGGCGCTGGAGAAGCTATTGGCGGCACAGAAGCTGGATAAGTGGGATATTGAAGGGGCGATTCATGCTTATAACGAGTACATGAGCCAGAGGAAGTCAACGCCTTCAGCCTCTGCAGCTGCTGCTGGTGCTGCTGCTGCTGCTAATCCTGCTGCTGCTGAGGTTCCAAAAGAGATAACGGAAGATTGCAGGAAGGTTCTTCGCGATTTCCTCATCGCAGCAACGGCCAAGGACTGTGGGATCATGCTGGCCCTCCGGGCGGCAATCCCCGGGGAGACCCTGGAAGCTTCGCAGAAGCTTCGCAGCGTTGTGTGCCCATCCAGCGGTCGCAAGTATTTCTACAGGGTAAGCCGACTCTTTTTCTTTCCTCTTGTTTGTTACGTCTCAAAAGTCGTCCAGCGGCCGGCTGCAAGTATTTCTACAGGGTAAGCCGACTATTTCTTTCCTCCTGTTTTGTTTTCCTGCTGATTTATTTTCTGTTGTTTTCTGTTTTTGGGTTTTGTGGCTTTTTTTAGATTTTTTCTCAAAGTTATTATTATTATTTTTTGTCTGTCTGTTTTTTATGTTTTTTTACATGATTATTTGTTTCTGTCCTGTATGACGTTGGCCTGTCCATTTGCCCTTGCTCCACTCATGCAGTCTCCCCTTGCTCCTCTCCCTCTCTCTCCTCCCAGCTCTCCATTATATGTCCTGTTACAACTTCAGTCCTGACCTCTGCTCCCCCCCCCACCCCCCTTTTTCCCCTCTGTCCTCATCTTTTCTCCCACTTCCTCCTGATTCATCTACACACAGCTTTCCATCATGGATCTGGACATAAAGCCGCTGCGAAAGATGCCAAAGTATTGGAGCATGGACCAGCAGATCGTCAGGCACTACTGCTCAGTTACACATGACGGGATGACAAATGGCGTGCCTTGAGGCGTCACAAAGCCTACCGGTAGACAGAATAAACATTTCCACAGTAAGTATTCATCTGCCATACGAGTGCTGGAGGTTCTGGTTTGTTCTTGTTCGGATGATTACGTTGCTCCTTTCCATGCTTAGCTGGCTGGGATTCTTTGAAGGTCCTGACCTCTAGGATGTGATAGTGCAAGAAGTACATAGATGCGTTTGTAATTTTCTATAAGTGAATTTGCTATTGTGGTGCAAACGAATTTGCTTGAAACTGCGGACGACTTGAAGCGAAGCGGACTGTTTCGCTTGCGACGAGGGGAAAAGTTGGAATGGAATCTACAAGAGCATGCGACGGGAGTTGCGGGCAATTTCGGCTTGCTGCCTGGCACGTCCAGGCTTCAGTAACGTCGCACACAAGTCGGAGAATGAGGGAGCTTTCTAGGGCTGCACGAACGGGCAGAAGTGAATCTCCAAAAGTGGGTGGGAGAAATTTCAAGGTTACAACAGCAATCCCGAAGTCTGTCGTGGTCAGAATCGTTGCAGTCGGCGCTCTTCGTGTTTGTTCGTTCAGTTTCGTCAGCGATGTGCTATCGTCATGTCAAACCACATCTCCATAGTGGCTTGGCCATGTCCCACACGATCATTTTCACAACGCAACTCCTCAAACCGTTCACAGATGCGTTTTTGAGCGCTATAGAACGTAAAGAACCGTAAGAAACCGCGGCGATTCAGAAACACCATTCTGGCCACCTCACGCCATTTGGTGCAGCAGACTACTCGCGAAATGATTCTAGTGCCTGACGTGTCCAGCCAACTGAACCGCCATTTTACGCCATACTGCCTTCACTATTCACCAAGCAAGCAGCTGTACATAGTTTGAAAGCCATGACTTCACCGTTTCCTCGAGCAACCTCTCGAGGGCATAAATTGAGCAGTGATCCGTTGCTGCTTTCACGGCGATCAGGGTTTACACTGGTGATCCCCAGAAAGCGAACGAGCTTGCGGATCAACAGGAGTTAGTTGCGACAAATAGTCGCCTCCCACGACACGTTGGAGCGCTTATAACGGGAATACTGACATATAGTTGCGTTTCATTCTTACATATTGTCCAACGCGTTATTATTCTGGAGCCATGAGCAATTGGCGACATTGTCGCGATGACATCAGGCATGTAATCAACGTATCTTTAGAGCTGACTCAGAGACACGCACGCACTCCATGACTCAACGTCCCATTGCGGCTAATTTCGAGGAAGCGCCCGCTCCGCATTCGATTGCATGTTTCTCAGCGAATCGAGACTCAGCATCTCGTTGCGTCTGCCTCTGTTTCTGAACAGGAACCCTCGCCATTTCGCAATGGCAAATTACAAGGCCTTTCTCTGCAATTTTCCTTACGAAAGAACCACTTCGACGAGCGGCAATGACAAGAGAGCGCCTACGCCTATTAGAGGCTTGATACATATACAACGACACCACTCATAGTAACCATGCCGTTAATAATCATTCTCGTTGCCAGCAGCAGTGATTAACATTATGTCGTGACTGACTTCTAACCCTAGCTAGTGTAGTCTAACATTATCAATTCATCCCCGTTATGAAGCACTAGACTGCTCGCCGATAACGCGACGCAATATACTTCTCGTAAAGCAGATAGTTACGCCTTTAGGATCCTATTTGAGCTGCCATGGCGAAGAATAAACCACCCGCGCCGCTTATCTCGTCCTTAAAGCCCGGACTACCCCCGCCGCATCCAACGGCTTCGTCAGGCCGGCTGCAGCGCGCTCACAGCGATGCTGCGAAGCGGGTTCAGTTCGCGACAGGTGGCATGTCGCCATTGGAGGAACAGCTACACGGAGCCGGCGCTGCTAGTCATGCCACGTCGACAGTAGACAGCCAAAGTGAGTCCGGTTTCGTTTTGGTGCGATAAAAACTTCCCTTCCTCCCCAGCTCTCCCCATCCGGGGCCGTCCCTTGTTCTGCTTCATTCTTCATTTCTGCACTGCTTCATGATCGGTTTGTCTTCTTCTCTCAACTTCTTCACCCAATGTTATCACTCCTTCCGCTATCACCCCTCCTCATGGCACCGTGGCATTCTATGGCATGGTTTGGCCTGTTTTGGCATGGCGTGATGGCATGGTATGGCATGGCATGACATGACATGCAACTGAACTGAACTGAATGGCATGGCATGTTGTGGCAGGGGACCATGGGTCGTCAGGCGGCCTGAGGCGCACACAGACGCTCGACTCGCACTCCTTGTACCCCGACCTAGACAAGATCATGGGTGCGTGCTGCTGGTGGTTCTGGTGCACGGGTTGGTTTGTATAAGGGGCTGCTATGGCTCATTCAGACTATCGACGCTCGACTCGCACTCCTTGTACCCCGACCTAGACAAGATCATGGGTGCGTGCTGCTTGGGTTGCCTGGAACGGTGGAGAGGAGGGTGGGCGGAAGAGGGGGTTTTCTGGGCGCAAGAGGTGGGTCGTCAGGCGATCTGACTGAGGTGCACACAGACTCTCGACTCTCACTCCTTGTATTCCGACCTGGACAAGATCATGGGTGCGTGCTGCTGCTTGCACTCTGCACTATTTACTACTAGACAAGATCACTGACATGGAGGACGCTTGGGCGAGTTGACTTTTGAGTCGACTCAAAAGTCAACTCGCGGTCGCTGCTTGCACTCTGCACTAGTTACTACTTAGACAAGATCACTCACGTTGAGGACGCTCGGGCGAGCACTGACACTTCCTCCACCCCCTCTCCCTGCTCCCCTTGTTGCCCACGTTGCCTTCATCATAGGCCCATAGGAGAATGAACGAGGCGTGGATTTCCGAACGTTCGAAGCACGAGTCTGGAGGTGCGGATTAAAGAGGCGGGCGGAGGGCGCATGGGCAAGCACTGACACCCCTCACTTGCCTCTCCATCTCCCCTCCCCCACATTGGTTCAGGGCGTGGACTTTTGGAAGGTTCGGTCCACGAGCCTGGAGGTGCGGACTAAAGAGGCATAGGACGCATGGGCAAGCACTGACACCTCCCACTTGTCTCTCATCTCCCTTTCCCCCCTGTAGGTTCAGAGGAGAATGAACAAGGGGTGGACTTCTGGAAGGTTCGATCAACGAGCCTGGAGGTTCGGATCAAAGAGGCGGAGGACGCTCGGGCGAGCATCACTGCCCAGGCTGTGGCTCTGGCACAACGCAACCAGGAGCTGACGAGCCGACTGAGGCAGTTTCAAGAGGAGGTGAGGATGGGGATGGAGGCTAGTGAGGAAACGGGAGGGGGGGAAGGAGCGTGGGCGAGGGCCGAGCATCACTGCCCAGCCGTGGCTCTGGCACAACGCAAGGAGAGGAATGGTGGGGGGATGGGATAACACGCACAGCTTGGCCGAGCATCACTGCCCAGGCCGTGGCTCTGGCTGCGCATAACCAGGAGCTGACGAGCAGAGTGAGGCAGATGGAAGAGGAGGTGAGGATGAGGGAAAAGGAGTGTGAGGGGATTTGGGGAGAGGAGGAGGGTGAGAGAGCAGCGAGCATCACTGCCCAGGGTGTGGCGCTGACGAGCAGGCTGTGGCAGTTTCAAGAAGAGGTGAGGTTGGGGGAAAGGGAGAGTGTGTAGATGAGGATGGGAATAGAGAGAGGATGGTGGTGAGGATGGGGGAAAGGAAGAGTGTGGAGTGTGTAGATGAGGATGGGAATAGAGAGAGGATGGTGGTGAGGATGGGAGAAACTTGGTGGATTTGAAGCCACTCTAGGGCTGGATTTGGGTGGAAGATTCAACATTAGCTCCACCCCCCTGTCCCCCCCTTCACCCCCTTTCCCTCTCCCCTTCCCTCTCAGGGCGACACAGCGGCCTTTGCAGCGTTGGAGCAACAACTGACAGACGTCAAGCTGCGCCTCGACCGCGCCCTCCACGAATGCTCCTCCCTCGCCGGCACCACCAGTGGCAGAGCAGCGCTGGGAGGGGCCCTAGGAGGGGCTCTGGGAGGGGCTCTAGGCCTGGATCCTGCTGGGAACATCACCATGAATATGGATACGAATCTGAACAGCAGCAGCGGGGGGGATTTGGCTGCGCTAGGGTTAGGGTTAGGGTCTGCTAGGCGGATGGGCGCTGGGAGTTATTTTCCCGATGCTGCTGGGGCTGCTGGGGGGGGAGCGGGGCGCGTGGGGGGGAAGGGAGGCGGAAAAGGAGGAGGGGGGATGGGAGGAGGGGCGGGTGACGGGTTGAATCTTCAGGTGGCTTTGGAGAGGGCGCCGTTTATGATTGCGCATTTGGATACGAGTTTGAGATACATCTGGGTGTTCAACCACAACCTGCTGGTGAATCAGGTGAGAACAACAGAGCTCAGGTGAATCTTCAGGTGGCTTTGGAGGCGCTGTTTATGATCGCGCACCTGGATACGAGCCTGAGATACACCTTGGAGTTCATTCAACCACAGCCTGCTGGTGAACCAGGTGAGAACGAGGTGACTTTTGAGTCGACTCTATCTATTGTCGCCTGGTGAACCAGGTGAGAACGAGGTGACTTTTGAGTCGACTCTATCTATTGTCGCCTGGTGAACCAGGTGAGAACAACAGAGCTCAGGTGAATCCGGGCTGATGGAAGATGGAGGGTTTTCGGGTCGACTCGACTCATAATTCGGCCTTAGCACCTCCTTATATTGCCCCAGGCGTCTTTATCTTTCCATGTTTCTTTGCGACCCTATACTCCCCTTCCCCCACCAACTCCTATTTCCTTCCCACCGCCTGGCTTCTCCTCTGCTCCCTCCTCTGGCCGCCTCTCCCAACCCCACATTGAGGTCGTTTTTGAGGCGCCTCAAAAACGACTTCAATGCTTCTCCTCTGCTCCCTCCTCTGGCCGCCCCTCCCAACCCCACATCTTCCCCTCTCCCAAGGATCAAGGTTCATCGTGGAGAAGCTGCAAACCTGTAGGAATCACTTAAGCAATAGGATCAAGACTGCTCCCCTCCCCCCACCAACTCCTGTTTCCCACCGCCTGGCTTCTCCTCTGCTCCCTCCTCTGGTCCCCACCGCCTGGTTTCTTGGGAGCAGGGTCGCCCCTCCCAACCCCACATCTTCCCCTCTCCCCGACCCTGCTCCCCTCCCCCCACCAACTCCCCTGTCCCACCGCCTGGCTTCTCCCCCTCTTCCCCCTCGCCATCCCAACCGTCCAATCAGGACATGATCGGCAAGAGGGATTATGACATCCTGCCACGTGGCACGCTGGGAGTGGAGGAGGCGATGGAGATGAAGCAGCGGGCGCTGGCCACAGGCAAGGCGCAGCGGGAAGTGCTGCCCGGCCCTCGCCCCACCTCTGTCTCCCCGACCTCCCCCCTATAAACTGAGACGATTTTTGAGGCGCCTCAAAAACCACCCCTCTGTCTCCCCGACCTCCCCCCTTGGTGGGGCTTGCGCCTTGAGGCACCTCCATTCCAATCAAGGCGCCTCAACAATCAATCAAGCCTCAGCAGAGAGAGGGGGCGGCCTCGCTCGCTCTCTTCCTCCCTCACTCCTCCTACCTGTCTTGTCCCAAACACCCCCCACCCACCCACCCACCACCCCCGTTGAACCAGGACATGATCGGCAAGAGGGATTATGACATCCTGCCACGTGGCACTCTGGGAGTGGAGGAGGCGATGGAGATCAAGCAGCGGGCGCTGGCCACTGGCAAGGCGCAGCGGGGCGAGGTGGTGTGGCAGCTTCCTGGAAGGCCCCCCATGGTGTGGGTAACGACTGCCCGGCCAATCAGAGACGAGAAGGGGCGGACTGTGGGTGTGACTACATCGAGCGTGGATATAACAGAGGAGGTATTACAGAGAGGGGATGAAGAGGGGGGAAGATGGGAGGGGGAGTTTATATGTACTGTGAGAGAAACATTCATGGTGTATGTTTCGGTTACATGTAGAATGGTGGGGGAGAATGGTTACATGTAGAATGGTGGGGGAGAATGGTTACATGTAGAATGGTGGGGGAGAATGGTTACATGTAGAATGGTGGGGGAGAATGGTTACATGTAGAATGGTGGGGGAGAATGGTTACATGTAGAATGGTGGGGGAGAATGGTTACATGTAGAATGGTGGGGGAGAATGGTTACATGTAGAATGGTGGGGGAGAATGGTTACATGTAGAATGGTGGGGGAGAATGGTTACATGTAATGTTGAGTAAGGTATTCCTGGTGTGGGTGACAACAGTTGGGGCCACTTAAGGAGAAGGAAGGGCGAATCGCATCAAGCGTGGATATAGCAGAACAGGGTCACTACCTCCCTCCCCCTGTCCCCTCCTCTCCCCTTCCCCTCTCCTGCTCCGCTCCCCATTGCCCGCTCCCTGTTCCCCTGCATTCTCCACTCCTTCTTGCCCCTGCTTTCCCCATTCCCTGTTTCCCTGTGCTCCCCCCCCCCCAAACACACCAGGCGCAGTACAAGGAGCGGCTGTTGGCACTGAGAGCCGAGATGATGGTGCGCAGCACAACGGAGAAGGAGCTGCTCTCTCCCCTCCAAACAACATGCCCTCTTTTCCCTCCCCTTCCCACTCCTTGTTCCCCCGATATCTCCTCTACCGCCCACCAACCTCCCCCCACCAGGCGCAGTACAAGGAGCGGCTGATGGCTTTAAGGGCGGAGATGATGGTGCGCAACACAACGGAGAAGGAGCTGCGGCGCGCATACGAGCTCACAGAGGACGCCATGCGCGCCAAGTCCATGTTCCTCGCCATCATGTCCCACGAAATCCCCTCCCGGCCCACCCCCCTGCTTGCTGCTGCTGCTGCTGCTGCCGCCGCTGCCGCTGCTGCTGCTGCCCCTCTTGCTGCTGCTGCTGCTGCTGCTGCTGCTGTTGTTTTCCCCCTTCCCCCCCGCCTCCTACCCCCCTCCGCCCTCTCTCCCCCCCCACCAGGCGCAGTACAAGGAGCGGCTGATGGCTTTAAGGGCGGAGATGATGGTGCGCAACACAACGGAGAAGGAGCTGCGGCGCGCATACGAGCTCACAGAGGACGCCATGCGCGCCAAGTCCATGTTCCTCGCCATCATGTCCCACGAGATCCGCACCCCGCTCAACGGCATCCTCGGATTGGCCGAAGTCCTGCTCGAATCCGGAGCGTTGGATGAGGAGCAGCGCGAGATCATCGAGACGATGATGTCTTCCGGCGTGATCATATCGGATATTCTCGCGGATATTCTCGATCTTGCGAGTATGGAGGCCGGGGAGATGAAGCTGGAGGAGCATCCGTTCGAGCCAGTCGCGGTGGTGAATCATATCTTAAAAATGGCCATGGCTGCTACTAAAGAGAAGGGAATTAAAGTCCTAGCGGATATTTCCCCGGATATTCCGGCGCAGATTTTAGGAGACGAGCTACGGGTGCGGCAGGTGATTAAATACCTGGTTTTAAACGCGATTAAGTTCACGCACACGGGGCATATCTTGCTGCGGGTGTCGGCGCATGATAGGGACCCGTCTGCTGCTATTGTGAAGGCTACTGGCGCGTATGCTGTAGGGGGATGGAACGTTCCCGGAGGAGGGGGAGCAGGAGGGGGAGGAGGAGGAGCGGGAGGGTCCGGCGCTGCTGCTACCTTAGGCCGGGGGAAAGGGCTGGCTGTGGAGATGCATAGTCATAATAAGGGCGCGAGGGCAGGGGGAAGCGGGCGGTTACCGCTGTTATCAGATGTTACGGAGGAGCATTTGAAGAAGCTGGCTAGTTTGGGGAGTTTGGAGCAGGCCGCGCCGCTATTGGCTGAACTTCCGACAGAGGAGTATGAGGAGGAAGAAGAGGAGGAGGAGGATGGGGATAGCGAGAGGACGAGAGGGGAGGAGGAGGGCGGGATGATGAGACCTGGAGGGGGAGGAGCAGGAGGGGGTTTCTGGGGCTCGATCGTACCAGCAGGGGGGGCAGAGAAGGGGAAGGGGAAAGCGGCAGCAGCAGTGGAGAGGCAGATAGGCGGAGACATGGACGTGTGGCTGTGGTGCGAGGTGCATGACACAGGCGTAGGAATCCCTAAAGACGCCTTCCCTCTCCTCTTTGAGAAATTCACCCAAGTGGAAGGCGGTCCCACTCGGGCCTACGGCGGCACCGGGCTTGGGTTAGCTATCTGCAAGCAACTAGTAGAGCTGATGCATGGGAAGATGGCGATAAAATCGAAGGTTGGGACCGGGTCGGTGTTTGCGTTCTCGGTGTGCTGCCAGCGCACTTCTCCCCGCTCCCGCCCGGCGTCTCCCACGGGCGCTAGCGCGATCGCTGCGGCTGTGAATGCGCCGTTCGGGTTTCCCAAGAGCGTGTCTGTGTCGGGTCCTTCCCCTGGGTCGGTGGCTCGGGCGTTATCCCCTGTGAGGGAGCATATGGGGCAGGTGGGGGGAGGGATGGGGGGGGGAGAGGAAGAGTATACTGAGGAGGAGGAAGAGGAGGAGGAGGGGGATTATGAGAGTGAGTATACAAATGACTCGCCGATTGCGATTACGCCCAAGCACTTGCGGCAACCACGGGGAGCAGTAGCAGCAGGAGCGGGAGCGGGAGGATCGGGAGCAGGAGCAGCGGGAGCAGCGGGAGCAGGGGTGGTGGGAGGGGGGTTGGCGGGACTGCTAGCCCGAGCCAAGGCGATGAAAGGGGAGGTGGGGGGGTCAGGGGAGGGGTTATCTGGGGGAGGCGCATCTGGAGGAGGAGTCATGGCAGGTGCTGCTGGGTCGCTGCCTTCTTTGTCCCCCGCCTCAGCCAAAGGCCCAGAGACGAAGATCCTGGTTGCTGAAGACAACCCTGTGAGTGTGGGGGGTTATGGTGTTCTGGTGGTTTGGTTGTTGGAATGGGATGGGGTGGGGTGGGGTGGGGTGGGGTGGGGTGGGGTGGGGTGGGGTGGGGTGGGGTGGGGTGGGTTGAGCCTGCCTCCTCTGTCCCCCGTCTCAGCCAAAGGCCCAGAGACGAAGATTTTAGTGGCTGAAGACAACCCCGTGAGTGTGAAGGGGTTATGGTGGGGTGGGGTGGGATGGGGTGGGGTGGGGTGGGGTGGGGTGGGGTGGGGTGAGCCCCTGCCGTCTCTCTGTCCCCCGCCTCAGCCAAAGGCCCAGAGTCGAAGATTTTAGTGGCTGAAGACAACCCCGCGAGTCCTGAGGTTACGTTTGGGTTGTGGGGTGGGGTGGGGTGGGGTGGGGTGAGCACCTGCCGCCTCTGTCCCCCGCATCAGCCAAAGGCCCAGAGACGAAGATCCTGGTGGCTGAAGACTACCCTGTAAGTGTTGTGGTTATGCTTGGGTTGTGGGGTGGGGTGGGGTGGGGTGGGGTGGGGTGGGGTGGGGTGGGGTGGGGTGGGGTGAGCCCCTGCCGTCTCTGACCCCCGCATCAGCCTAAGGCCCAGAGGCGAAGTTAGTTCCTCCTGGTGGCTGAAGACAACCCTGTGAGTGCTGCGGTGGGGTGGGGTGGGGTGGGGTGGGGTGGGCTGGGCTGGGCTGGGCTGGGCTGGGGTGAGCACTTTCTGTTTCTGACCCCCCCATCAGCCTAAGGCCCAGAGACGAAGATACTAGTGGCTGAAGACAACTCCGTAAGTGTGGGGGCATCAGCGCATCACATTTCTGCTTTTGAGTCGACTCAAAAGGGGGCATCAGCGCATCACATTTCTGCTTTTGGGTCGACTCAAAAGGGGGCATCAGCGCATCACATTTCTGCTTTTGAGTCGACTCAAAAGGGGGCATCAGCGCATCACATTTCTGCTTTTGAGTCGACTCAAAAGGGGGCATCAGCGCATCACATTTCTGCTTTTGAGTCGACTCAAAAGGGGGCATCAGCGCATCACATTTCTGCTTTTGAGTCGACTCAAAAGGGGGCATCAGCGCATCACATTTCTGCTTTTGGGTCGACTCAAAAGGGGGCATCAGCGCATCACATTTCTGCTTTTGAGTCGACTCAAAAGGGGGCATCAGCGCATCACATTTCTGCTTTTGAGTCGACTCAAAAGGGGGCATCAGCGCATCACATTTCTGCTTTTGAGTCGACTCAAAAGGGGGCATCAGCGCATCACATTTCTGCTTTTGGGTCGGCTCAAAAGGGGGCATCAGCGCATCACATTTCTGCTTTTGAGTCGACTCAAAAGGGGGCATCAGCGCATCACATTTCTGCTTTTGAGTCGACTCAAAAGGGGGCATCAGCGCATCACATTTCTGCTTTTGGGTCGGCTCAAAAGGGGGCATCAGCGCATCACATTTCTGCTTTTGGGTCGGCTCAAAAGGGGGCATCAGCGCATCACATTTCTGCTTTTGAGTCGACTCAAAAGGGGGCATCAGCGCATCACATTTCTGCTTTTGGGTCGGCTCAAAAGGGGGCATCAGCGCATCACATTTCTGCTTTTGAGTCGACTCAAAAGGGGGCATCAGCGCATCACATTTCTGCTTTTGAGTCGACTCAAAAGGGGGCATCAGCGCATCAAATTTCTGCTTTTGAGTCGACTCAAAAGGGGGCATCAGCGCATCACATTTCTGCTTTTGGGTCGACTCAAAAGGGGGCATCAGCGCATCACATTTCTGCTTTTGAGTCGACTCAAAAGGGGGCATCAGCGCATCACATTTCACTTTTGAGTCGACTCAAAAGGGGGCATCAGCGCATCACATTTCTGCTTTTGAGTCGGCTCAAAAGGGGGCATCAGCGCATCACATTTCACTTTTGAGTCGACTCAAAAGGGGGCATCAGCGCATCACATTTCACTTTTGAGTCGACTCAAAAGGGGGCATCAGCGCATCACATTTCTGCTTTTGAGTCGACTCAAAAGGGGGCATCAGCGCATCACATTTCACTTTTGAGTCGACTCAAAAGGGGGCATCAGCGCATCACATTTCTGCTTTTGAGTCGGCTCAAAAGGGGGCATCAGCGCATCACATTTCTGCTTTTGGGTCGGCTCAAAAGGGGGCATCAGCGCATCACATTTCTGCTTTTGAGTCGACTCAAAAGGGGGCATCAGCGCATCACATTTCTGCTTTTGAGTCAACTCAAAAGGGGGCATCAGCGCATCACATTTCTGCTTTTGAGTCGACTCAAAAGGGGGCATCAGCGCATCACATTTCTGCTTTTGAGTCGACTCAAAAGGGGGCATCAGCGCATCACATTTCTGCTTTTGAGTCGACTCAAAAGGGGGCATCAGCGCATCACATTTCTGCTTTTGAGTCGACTCAAAAGGGGGCATCAGCGCATCACATTTCTGCTTTTGGGTCGACTCAAAAGGGGGCATCAGCGCATCACATTTCTGCTTTTGGGTCGGCTCAAAAGGGGGCATCAGCGCATCACATTTCTGCTTTTGAGTCGGCTCAAAAGGGGGCATCAGCGCATCAAATTTCTGCTTTTGAGTCGACTCAAAAGGGGGCATCAGCGCATCACATTTCTGCTTTTGGGTCGACTCAAAAGGGGGCATCAGCGCATCACATTTCTGCTTTTGAGTCGACTCAAAAGGGGGCATCAGCGCATCACATTTCACTTTTGAGTCGACTCAAAAGGGGGCATCAGCGCATCACATTTCTGCTTTTGAGTCGGCTCAAAAGGGGGCATCAGCGCATCACATTTCACTTTTGAGTCGACTCAAAAGGGGGCATTAGCGCATCACATTTCACTTTTGAGTCGACTCAAAAGGGGGCATCAGCGCATCACATTTCTGCTTTTGAGTCGACTCAAAAGGGGGCATCAGCGCATCACATTTCACTTTTGAGTCGACTCAAAAGGGGGCATCAGCGCATCACATTTCTGCTTTTGAGTCGGCTCAAAAGGGGGCATCAGCGCATCACATTTCTGCTTTTGGGTCGGCTCAAAAGGGGGCATCAGCGCATCACATTTCTGCTTTTGAGTCGACTCAAAAGGGGGCATCAGCGCATCACATTTCTGCTTTTGAGTCGACTCAAAAGGGGGCATCAGCGCATCACATTTCTGCTTTTGAGTCGACTCAAAAGGGGGCATCAGCGCATCACATTTCTGCTTTTGAGTCGACTCAAAAGGGGGCATCAGCGCATCACATTTCTGCTTTTGAGTCGACTCAAAAGGGGGCATCAGCGCATCACATTTCTGCTTTTGAGTCGACTCAAAAGGGGGCATCAGCGCATCACATTTCTGCTTTTGAGTCGACTCAAAAGGGGGCATCAGCGCATCACATTTCTGCTTTTGAGTCGACTCAAAAGGGGGCATCAGCGCATCACATTTCTGCTTTTGAGTCGACTCAAAAGGGGGCATCAGCGCATCACATTTCTGCTTTTGAGTCGACTCAAAAGGGGGCATCAGCGCATCACATTTCTGCTTTTGGGTCGACTCAAAAGGGGGCATCAGCGCATCACATTTCTGCTTTTGAGTCGACTCAAAAGGGGGCATCAGCGCATCACATTTCTGCTTTTGAGTCGGCTCAAAAGGGGGCATCAGCGCATCACATTTCACTTTTGAGTCGACTCAAAAGGGGGCATCAGCGCATCACATTTCACTTTTGAGTCGACTCAAAAGGGGGCATCAGCGCATCACATTTCTGCTTTTGAGTCGACTCAAAAGGGGGCATCAGCGCATCACATTTCACTTTTGAGTCGACTCAAAAGGGGGCATCAGCGCATCACATTTCTGCTTTTGAGTCGGCTCAAAAGGGGGCATCAGCGCATCACATTTCTGCTTTTGGGTCGGCTCAAAAGGGGGCATCAGCGCATCACATTTCTGCTTTTGAGTCGACTCAAAAGGGGGCATCAGCGCATCACATTTCTGCTTTTGAGTCGACTCAAAAGGGGGCATCAGCGCATCACATTTCTGCTTTTGAGTCGACTCAAAAGGGGGCATCAGCGCATCACATTTCTGCTTTTGAGTCGACTCAAAAGGGGGCATCAGCGCATCACATTTCTGCTTTTGAGTCGACTCAAAAGGGGGCATCAGCGCATCACATTTCTGCTTTTGAGTCGACTCAAAAGGGGGCATCAGCGCATCACATTTCTGCTTTTGGGTCGACTCAAAAGGGGGCATCAGCGCATCACATTTCTGCTTTTGAGTCGACTCAAAAGGGGGCATCAGCGCATCACATTTCTGCTTTTGAGTCGACTCAAAAGGGGGCATCAGCGCATCACGTCTCACTTTTGAGTCGACTCAACAGTCAACTAGGCCCAGAGGCGAAGCTAGTTCCTCCTTGTGGCTGAAGGCAACCCCGTGAGTGTGGGGACATCAGCGGCGCATCACATTTCACTTATGCCCCCACGCCCTTCCCCGTCTGATTCGCGGCAGGTGAACGTGATGGTGCTGCTCTCCATGCTCAAGCGCCTGGGGCTGCGAGCCACAGTGAATGGGGTAGTGTTGCTTGCACCCCATGCCACCCCACCTCCTCACCGCTCCCAACCCATCACTTCTCAAGCGCCTGGGGCTGCGATGGGGCTGAGAATGAGATGATGCCGTTTCTCATTGCCACTCTTCTCCCCACTCGGTTACCAACCCCAGGTGAACGTGATGGTGCTGCTCTCCATGCTCAAGCGCCTGGGGCTGCGAGCTACAGTGGCCGAGAATGCTGTGGCGGCAGTGAGTCTGTTGTTGGCGGGTGTGTCTCAGCCCATACCCCCCTCATCCGATCCCCTTGCCACGCCTCACTGCAGGTCAACGTGATGGTGCTGCTCTCCATGCTCAAGCGCCTGGGGCTACGAGCCACAGTGAATGGGGTAGTGTTGCTTGCACCCCATGCCACCCCACCTCCTCACCGCTCCCAACCCATCACTTCTCAAGCGCCTGGGGCTGCGATGGGGCTGAGAATGTGATGATGCCGTTTCTCATTACCACTCTTCTCCCCACTCGGTTACCAACCCCAGGTCAACGTGATGGTGCTGCTCTCCATGCTCAAGCGCCTGGGGCTGCGAGCTACAGTGGCCGAGAATGCTGTGGCGGCAGTGAGTCTGTTGTTGGCGGGTGTGTCTCAGCCCATACCCCCCTCATCCGATCCCCTTGCCACGCCTCACTGCAGGTCAACGTGATGGTTCTGCTCTCCATGCTCAAGCGCCTGGGGCTGCGAGCCACAGTGGCCAAGAACGGTGTGGAGGCGTTGGAAGCGGTGCGGAGGGAGCGATTCGATCTGCTGCTGTCGGACCTCTGCATGCCGCTCATGGACGGACTGCAGGTAGGCGTTGACTCGCGTTGACTTGGGTTGAATTTTGCTTACTCCTTGTTGACTCATATTGAGGGCTGTCGCCCTGTCACCTGCTGCTGTCAGTCCTCTGCATGCCGCTCATGGACGGGCTGCAGGTAGGCGTTGAACCTCGTTAACTCTGGTTGACTTTGATTGACTTGCCTTTGGTTCACACTTTGAAATATAGTTAAACAAAGCTGGCTCGGTTCGACCTGTTGCTGTCGGACCTCTGCATGCCGCTCATGGACGGGCTGCAGGTAGGCGTTGACTCGCGTTGACTTGGGTTGACCCCTGTTGACTCCCCAGTGTGGAGGCAGTAGGACGAGAAGGGAGCGGTTTGGCTTGCTGCTGACGGACCTCTGCATGCCACTCACGGGGGTGTATCCAGAGGAGGTGGAGCAAGGCTGGTTAGGCAGACTTGTTTGCCCTGCCCTTCCCTGCCCTTCCCAACCCACACCACACCCCAACCCACACCACACCCCAACCCACACCACACCCGTACCCCAACCACGGGCGGCCTACCTGATCCGACAATACGAGCGCACGGGGGTGTATCCAGAGGAGGTGGAGCGAGCCAAGCACAGGGGAGCGCCGGCAGGAAAGCATGCCTGATTTGGCTGACTTGTAGTTCACCTACCCAACCACCGGCTGCCTACCTGATGAGGCAGTATGAGCGCACGGGGGTGTATCCAGAGGAGGTGGAGCGAGCCAAGCACAGGGGAGCGCCGGCAGGAAAGCATGCCTGATTTGGCTGACTTGTAGTTCACCTACCCAACCACCGGCTGCCTACCTGATTAGGCAGTATGAGCGCACGGGGGTGTATCCAGAGGAGGTGGAGCAAGGCTGGTTAGGCAGACTTGTTTGCCCTGCCCTTCCCTGCCCTTCCCAACCCACACCACACCCCTACCCCAACCACGGGCGGCCTATCTGATTCGGCAGTATGAACGCACGGGGGTGTTTCCAGAGGAGGAGGTGGAACGAGCAAAGCACAGGGAGCGAGCCTTATGAGGCTGGACTTGTTTTCACCTGCTTCGGTCCAACCCATCCCTCCCACCCATGCCATACCCATCCCACACCACGCCCCAACCACAGGCCGCCTACCTGATTCGGCAGTACGAGCGCACGGGGGTGTTTCCAGAGGAGGAGGTGGAACGAGGCTGGTTAGGCTGACTAGTTCGCTCTTGTTTCAATCCAACCCATGCCATACCCAACCCACACCACACCCCACCCAACCACAGGCGGCTTATCTGATCCGGCAGTACGAGCGCACGGGGGTGTATTCAGAGGAGGAGGTGGAGCGAGCAAAGCACAGGGGAGCGAGCAAAGCTAGGCTGAATTCTTTGCCCCTGCTTACCCATCCCATCCCACACCACACTCCAACCACAGGCAGCCTACCTGATCCGGCAGTACGAGCGCACGGGCGTGTTTCCAGAGGAGGAGGTGGAGCGAGCCAAGCTCAGGGGAGCGCCGGCAGGGGCAATGCTGACTCACCCCTACGTTGCTCAATCCACACCCCACCCCAATGACAGGCAGCCTATTTGATCCGACAGTACGAGCGCACGGGTGTGTATCCAGAGGAGGAGGTGGAGCGAGCAAAGCACAGGGGAGCGCCGGCAGGGGATGTGAAATCCGGCCTTACATGGCAACCCCCCTCCAACCTCCCCCTCTCCCGTCTTCCTCCCATCGCTTGCCCTGTTTATCCCTAACCCACACCCACCAGGCAGCCTATTTAATTAGGCAGTATGAACGGACCGGAGTGTTCCCAGAGGAGGAGGTGGAGCGAGCCAAGCACAGGGGAGCGCCGGCAGGGGATGAGAAATCCGGCCTGACCTGGCAGCCCCCCTCCAACCTCCCCCTCTCCTCACACCGAGGGGCCCTGCCCCGCCTCCCCATCATAGCCGTTACCGCAAACGCTCTTAAGGAGGATGAAGAGCGGTGCTATGCGGTGGGGATGGATGGGTTCCTGGGGAAGCCGGTGCAGTTTCCAAAGCTGAAGGAGGCGATTTCTGAGTTTATAGAACTCCCCGGGTCTAGATTGCTGCAGGGAGCCGGGAGTGGTGGGGGTGGGGGAGTTGGGAGAGGGGGAATTGGGCAATCTAACCCCAATTCAGGGGCACCGGGAGGGTTACTATCCATGGGGAGCGGGCTAGCAGCGCTGCTAGCAGGGATCCCCCCACAAGCCGCCGCCGCCGCCGCCGCCGCCCCTGGGTTTCCCGCCCCGTCCAAGCTCTCGGGCGGCGTTCAGCGTCTCGTAGTGCCCGCCCGGCCGAGCAGCTACAGCGAATCAGGGTTGGCGAGTGGGAGCATGACTTACACAGGGGATGAGGAGGATTATCAAGGGGAAGAGGGGGAATTCGATGAAGATTATAATGGGGAGTATGATGATTACGAGTCGACTGTGTATTCGCCTAGGTCTGCAGCGGTTCGGCGCGGTGCCAGGACTCCAGGAGGGGCAAGCACTGCCAGAACCCCCGGGGGAGCGAGTATGGCTAGAACCCCCGGCACTACTAGAAGCTTCCGAACGTCGATGTTTTACGATGGGAGGGAGGATAGGAGCATGTATGGGGGTGCTGGGAGTGTGTATGGGGGGACAGGGAGTGTGTATGGGGGTGCGGAGAGCGCGTATGGGGGCGCGGCGAGCAGCGTGGGTGGGTATAGCCGTGCCACAGGTGTTACCGGTGTTACTGGAGTAACGGGAATGACTGGTGTGACTGGTGTGACTGGGACGACCAGGGGTGGGAGGGGGAGGGGCATGTCAAGAGAAGAAGCAGCAGCAAGGGAATCGGCCATGAGAGAGGCTTATAACCGTTACTTTCTAAATGCCGGTTTGCCCCCCACCACTGCTGCTGCGGCGGCGGCAGCGGCAGTAGCGGCAGCAGCAACTGCTGCTGCTCGTGCCGGTAACGGTGGTGGTGGTGGGGGAGGAGGAGGGGGAGGAGGTTTCCCCAGGAATAGGTCTATTGCCGAGTCTTCATATATCTCTGGCAGGTCTTCGGGAGATGAGCTTTCAATATATTCGAAGACCACTGGAGGGACCGGGAGGGGAGGGAGGGGAGGCATGGGCACGGTTACAGGCACGAGCAGCACCGGGACAGGTTCGGAGAGCGGGACTGAGACTGGGACTGGCTCGGATCTAGGCTCGGAAACAGGTACGGGAACGACTGATTTTCATGCACAGAGAGTGGTGACGTTGAGAGGGGGGACTGCACCCGTGGGAGGGGGGATGGGAGGAGGGATGGGAGGAGGGATGGGAGGAGGAGGTATGGGAGGGGGGATGGGAGGGTTGAGAGGGGTGGGAGGGGTGGGAGGGGCAGGATTAGCAGCAGGAGGGCTAGCAGGCGGAGCAGGGTTAGGAGGAGGAGGAGGAATAGGAGGAACAGCAGGGGGGCTTTCAGGAGCAACAGCTGCTAATATAGCAGCACTGCGCTACCTTACTGCCCGTGCTGCAGGTAATACTGGGGTAAGTGGGACTGGGTTAGGTGGTTTAACAGGGGCTGGTAACCCTGCAGGGACAGCTGGCACGGGGTATAATTTGGGTAATAACCTGAACTCTTATAGGGGTGCGGGTGCGGGAATGGGAGGGCCCGGGTCTATAGGGGGTAGTTCCCTGTCCTCTTTTTCTAACCCGCAGAGAAATTTGGGGCAAGGAGGGAGGCTTTTAGGAGGGAATTTGGCTTATAACGGAGGTGCTTATAATGCAGCGTTGGGTGGTGGGGTGGGTGTTGGGGGAGTGGGAGGAGGGTTGGGAGGGGCAGGAGGCCTGGGCGGAGGTTTGGCAGGAGGCTTGGCGGGAGGTATGGGAGGAGGTTTGGCAGGTGGTTTGGGAGGAGTGGGAGGAAGAGTGGGGGGAGGATTGGGTGGTGCAGGTGGGATGGGTGGACTTGGGGGTTCGTCTTTTCAGCAGTTGCAGCAGCTGCAGCAGCAGCTACAGCAGCAGCACCAGCAGCAACAGCAGCAGCAGCAGCAGTTGTTGAGTAGCTATGGAGGTTTGGGAGGAGCAGGAGCAGGCGCCGGGTTGGCAGGAGGATTGGGAGGAGGTTTGGGAGCAGGGATGGGAGCAGGGATGGGAGGAGGAGGGATGGGAGGAGCAGCAGGGTTTGGAGTGGGTAGCACGAGCAGCAGCAGCATGCATCCCGGGGTAAGACAAGGGACACGAGCAGGGGCAACACTACCCGCCACCGCTGCAGCAGCAGCTGCTGCTGCTGTGGCTGCGGGTAGGAGACGGCCTATAGCGAGTGCCACTGTAGCAGGCAACGGTGGTGCGTTTCTGAGGCAAAACGTGGGGACAGGTGGTAATGTTGCTGGTTCTGCTACTGTTGGTGGTGGTGGTGCTGGTGGTGCTGCTGCTGCTGGTCGTGGTGGTGCTGGTGGTTTGGATGTTAATGGTGGTGGTGGTGGTGGTGGTGGCTTTAGTGGTATTGGTGGTGGAGGGGCGAATGGTCTTGGGGGAGGTGGTATTGGGACAGGTGGAATCGGGGCAGGTGGTATTGGGGTAGGTGGATTAGGAGGCGGCGGATTTGCCGGTCAAACAGCAGGTGGGATGGCAGGAGGAGCACCAGGTGGTATTTCAGGTGGAATTTCAGGTGGAAATTTCGTCCCTCCGCCCCCTGCAGGAGCCTCTCAGGCGCAGCAGCTACAGTACCTGATTCAGCAGCAGCAGATGCTGCTAGCACAGACACACGCCCAGATACAAGCAAGGCAGCAGCAGCAGCAGCAGCTGCAGCAGCAACAGCAGCTGCAGCAGCAGCGGCAACAGCTGCAGCAACAGCAGCAGCAATTGCTGGCAGCAGGAGGGTTGGGGAGGAACTTAGGGGGAGGTATGGCTGGTGGCACGGGGTTAAGTGCTGGTGGTGTGGGAGCGATGGGGTTAAGTGCTGGTGGCATGGGAAATTTGGGGTTAAGTGGTGGCGGCGTGGGAGGTATGGGGCTAAGTGGTGGTGGGCTGAGTGCTGCTGGTATGGGTGCTGGTGTTGGGGGGCTGGGTGGAGGTTTTATGAATCGAGGAGTAATGGGAATGGCAGGTATGGGAACCGCAGGCTTGGGAGCAGCAGGCTTGGGAGCAGCAGGTATGGGAGCAGCAGGCATGGGAGCAGCAGGTATGGGAGCAGCAGGTATGGGGGCAGCAGGAATGGGAGCAAGAACCGGAGCACTGGGGGTAGGAGGGATGGGGGGAGCTGGCTCTCTAGCAGGATTAGGGCTGGGAGGAGGAGGAGCAGGGAACTTACAAACTGAATTTCAAGGAATGGGGGGGGCAGGGGACGCAGGAAGAGGAGGAATGGCAGGAGCAGCAGGAGGGGCGGCAGCAGGAGCAGGAGCAGGAGGAGGAGGCGGAACAGGAGGGACAGGAGGAGGGGTGAGGGGAACTGTAGCAGCCCGGGTCGCCCCTCAACGCCGCCCGGAGTTCCTCGCCGGTGCGGTTACCAGCGAGAGCAGGTTCGGCGGTGCGGTTACCAGCGAGAGCAGGTTCGGCGGGGAGAGCTACAGTGAGAGCGAGAGCACGAACGCCCGGAGCCGCGGCAGGTTCGGCGCAGGTCCGGGAATGGGCCGCGAAGGCTCGGGAATCATGCAAAGTATGATCGGGGGGGGCTCGAGAGAAGGTGGAGGGTCTGTTACCTCGTCTATGCTGAAAGGGAGTGTGGGGGCAGGGCTGGGGGGGGTGAATTTGAGAGATGGGGGGTTTGTGAGTAGGTATGGGCAGAGCCCTTATCCCAGAGCTGGGACGAGTGTGGGTGGGGGTAAATGGAGTGAAAGCCACACCTCCCGAACCACTTCTTCAGCTAAGGGCAGGGATCTTGACAGGAGAGGTATGGGAGGAGGTATGGGAGGAGGTATGGGAGGAGGGATGGGTGGAGGGATGGGTGGAGGGATGGGAGGAGGGATGGGTGGAGGGATGGGAGGAGGGATGGGAGGAGGGATGGGAGGAGGGATGGGAGGAGGGATGGGAGGAGGGATGGGAGGACAGGGAGAAGGGGATGGGAGGAGAGGGGGCTATCAAGGAGGAGGGTCCCCTCCTAGAATGGCTGCAGGGCAAGCTGTTTCAGCAGCAGCAGCAGCCGCAGCAGCAGCGGCTGCAGCAGCTGCAGCGTCACAGAGAGCACTGGCAGCAACATCTGCCGGAGCTGCAGCTATGGCAGGCCGAGCCGAGATGGTTCGGGAGGAGGAACGGGCCGAGCGGCGCCGAGCCAAAGCCGCAGCTTTGGCAGCAGGGTTAGGAGGTAGAGAGGTTGGTGGGGGCGGTGGAGGGGGTTATGGCAATGGGATGGGCATGGGGAGAGAGGGTGGTGGTATGAACGGTGCAGATCAAGCGTTTGGGCAGCAGAGAGATCGAGAGTCGTTGATTGCGTCTAAGATGGAGCTTCAGGAGCGGGCTGTGCAGCGACGGTCCAGATTGCAGGCCCCGCAACGAACGGCTGAGATGGGCCAAGGCGGCGGTGGTGGCGCTCGAAACATGGGGTATTGGAACTAATGTGGAACATAAGAATTGCATACAGGTTGCTTACTGTTTAGATTTTAATGTGGAAGATGGTGTGCCTCTCTTAATTTTGCACGTCAACCAGCCGCCTGCATGAAGTCCCGCATTTTGTGTGTGTTCTGTGCGCATCCGTTTTTGCATTCTGTTTCATGTGTTTTTGTTGTGGGCACATGACAAGTCATGACGGATCATGACGAGTAATGAATTCTCATGACGACTCATGTTCGTTCGTCAATTTTCATGAACTACCGTGCGCGTTCATGATAGTTACGAGCGTCATGAAAGTGGTAAAAAGAAACATGTTACCTCTGGTAAAAGTGGTATGTTTGTATGGTATAAGTGGTATGCACATATTGCATCAAAAAGAAAAATGTTACCGTACCTCTGCACATGCAGTATGTTACCGGTACCTCTGCATGTAAGGAATTTTCCGGATTCCTTACTGGGTCACACTGTACGCGTACAACTCCGACTTTCGGAAAACCAGGCTCGGTCCGCCGACCTCGCCTTCCGAGCCACTACCGCGTCGCCTTCGGGCTTTCCAACCCCGAACCTGCACCCAACCATCCCGCGACCCCGCGACCTCGGCCTAGCTAGCTTTGCTATATTAGTTCTAGGCCTCGTTGTGTTCTCAGACGTTGTAATCACTTCCGCGTTATTGAATACTGCGCACTCTTCTTTCGTACAACTCATAACACTTGGTATCAGAGCCTAAAGTCCTAGTTTACCCTCGCGTTTCCGGGGTAGTTTGTAGAAGGGGAGCGATAGACTTGGTGGGCTGTTAAGCGGTCGGCCCGTGGAATAGATCTGATTATTCCACTCCGACTACGATAGCATTAACGCCTTCACCGAAGTCAGAAAAATCGCGAGCCACCCCCTGCCCGTTCGACGAAGCCTGAGGCACATGGAGCAGGCCGAGTTTAACGAGTTCATGCAACAGTTCCGTGCGATGCAGGCCAACTTGCAGGGTATGACTGCAGAGATGGAGCGTCTACGGAAGGAAAACGCCGAACTACACCAGGCGCGTGGTGAAGCGCGCCAGGAGTCGCCTGTCGTGGACGACGCAAGTAGCAGCACTACACCAGATGAGCGGGTCTGGAGCGAGCTGGAAGGCGAGATGGATGCGGACGAAGCGAGGCAGGCGCAGCAGGAACAGTCGCCACAACAGTCGCGTGCAGTACCACCACGTGCAGCAGCGACGACGACGGCGACGCCAGCAGCAATGCCAACGGCCCCGATGGCAGCAACGGCTTTTGTGAAAATCAAGCCGACAAACCCGCCCCCGTTTAACCCGAGTGACAAGTTTGTCACTGTTTCTGCATGGTTGTTCGGAGTGGAGGTGTTCTTTAATGCTGCTATGATTTATGACGATGCCACCCGCATTAATTTCGCAGTTTCACTGTTGCGAGGACCTGCGCTGGAGTGGTAGAGGCGAACGCTGCAGCACGAAGGGAATTCGGCAGGAATAGCACGTGCGAACGACGGGGCTTCAACACCTGTCACACATCAGGCAACATCGATTTTTGGGACGGCCACGATACGCACATGGAAGGAGTGGGGCGCCGCCTTGCGAACCAGATTCGAGCACATATCCGCCTCGGACTCTGCTCGCATGCAGCTGCGTACCTGGAAGCAGCTGACTTCAGTCCAAGACTACACCAGCAAATTCTGCAACTTGGCGGACCAAGTGGACGATATGAGCGATGCGGAGCGGTTGGATCGCTACGTGGCGGGCCTGAAATATGAGATACAGTACGAGGTCCGAAGAACCCGGCCACGCAGCTTCAACGACGCCGTCCGGGAAGCCGAGTCAACGGATGCGCTGATGCAGTGGGCGAGATCGAGCTCCCGGGAGGGCCCTCGATTTCGTGGACCGACTCAGCAGCCCACGATCAACGGCGTGGATGCACCTAGCCGAGCCCTTGGGCCGTGCTTTTTATGCAACCAGCTGGGCCACCTGAAAAAAGACTGCCCGAGGCTTAAGCAGGGGAAGAAGAACGACGGAGAAGGGTCGGGAAAAGATACGAGTCAGTAGCAGACGGGCCACCTACTGACGAGACCCTGTCGCCCGACAATCACCATCCACACCGGGTCGTGGTACCGATCAGAGCTATCGACCAGAACCGGACGAATAACGTGGGTGAACACGTGGACTACCCTGTGCTGGTGGTAGGGAGGGTTAACGGTTATAAAATAAAAATCTTCGTTGACGGTGGGGCGAGCCACAGTCTCGTCAACCTGGCAACGGCCAAAAAAATTGGGGTAAAGCTGACCAGGTGTCTGCCGGAGATCGATGCTAGGTTGGTGGACGGGACACCGCTGGCCATCCGAGATGAGGCGCGAAAAATTCGGATACAATGCGGCGACAAATTCGGTTTTGGCATGAGAATGTTGGCGACGACGTTGGACGGCTGTGATGTGCTGCTGGGGAGGGATTGGCTGCAGCGATTCAATCCGACGATCGACTGGACGACTGGGGCGTGCGTCGTGCGAGGATACGGAGGGAAGACGACGCTTCCGAAATGGACGGAGCCGGAGCCGGTGACGACACGTGTCAACGCGGTCAACATGCAGCGTGCGATGAACAGCGGAGCTCAGGCCTTCTTGGTGCACCTGTACGAGGTGGCAGCTTCCGAGAAAATCGCGGACATCGACACCCTCTGCACGGCAGTCCCTGAGGAATTGGCGAGCATTATTCGGAAGTACCCCGAAATTTTCGCGGATGACCTCCCGAATGGCTTGCCCCCCCAACGGCCTGAGGATCATCGGATCCAGCTGGAACCGGGAGCGCAACCTACTGTTCGGTCACAGTGGCGGCTCAGCCAACCAGAGCTCGCCGAGTTGCGGGCCCAGCTGGATTATCTGCTCGCCAAAGGATTTATCCGGCCAAGCACGTCGCCGTATGCAGCGCCGATACTGTTTACACCGAAGAAGGACGGGGGCCTGCGCATGTGCATCGATTATCGAGCGCTGAATCGGGTCACGATAAAATCGCGTTACCCGATCCCGCGAACTGACGATCTACTGGATCAACTTCGCGGAGCTCGATACTTCTCGAAAATAGACCTGCGAGGCGGCTACCACCAAATTCGCGTGTTCGCCGACGACTGCCCGAAGACCGCTTTTCGCACACGCTACGGCAGTTACGAGTTCACGGTGATGCCGTTCGGTCTGACAAACGCGCCCTCGACGTTCCAGCTCACCATGAACGGAATTTTTCGGGACATGCTGGACAAGAAGGTCATCGTGTATCTGGACGACATCCTGGTGTACAGCGCGACAAAAGAGGACCATCTGCGGGATTTAGAGGAGGTGTTCCGGCGTTTACAAGGGCATCGGCTGATTACGAAGGGGTCTAAGTGCGAGTTTCTGAAGCCGGAATTAGAGTTTTTGGGGCATGTGGTTTCTGGCGAAGGGATCAAAATCGACCCGCGTAAAGTGGACGCCATAGTTAAGTGGAAGCCGCCTACTAATATCCCTGAATTGCAAAGTTTTCTGGGGTTTATTAACTACGTTCGTCGTTTTGTACCTAATATGGCAGGGATAACCAAGCCGCTGACCGACCTGCTGCATCACGACAGTGATTTTCGGTGGGGGGAGAGGGAGCAGTCCGCCTTCGACGCCCTCAAAAACATTTTGGGGTCACCCCCTGTACTCCGCCTCGCCGACCCATCTCGACCGTTCGAAGTCGTCACGGACGCCAGCGATTTCGCCGTCGGCGCCGTCCTGCTACAGGACTTCGGCCAAGGGCTGCAACCCATCGCCTACGAGTCACGCAAGATGCAGCCACCCGAGCGCAACTACCCAGTCCACGACAAAGAGATGCTGGCCATCGTCCATGCATTTCGCGTCTGGCGCTGCTACCTCACGGGAGCCGACGTGACCATTCGGACCGACCACAAATCACTACAGTACATGCGCACGCAACCGACACTCAACCCGCGACAAATCCGGTGGTTGGACTTCCTCGAGTCCAATTTTCGGTACACCATCACGTACAAAAAGGGCGCCAACAACATCGCCGACGCCCTCACAAGACCATCCATGCAAAACGCGGCGGTACTAATCGCCCACACCAACCCGATGCTGACGGGACTATTCACCCACGGCTACAAGATCGACAGGTTTTTTCGGAACCCGCAACAACAGGCTGCCACACCGCACGGCAAGTACTACCTAAAAGCCGGTACGAACCGGATTTGGGTACCAGCATACCAGCCTTTACGGGAGCTGCTGACGCAGGAGGTTCACGACTCCAACCTTTCCGGGCATTTCGGCACCGACAAAACACTGAAGCTGCTGCAGCGGAATTATTACTGGCCGGACATGCTCACCGATGTGCAGCGCTACGTGTCAACCTGCCCGACCTGCCAGGCGATGAAGTCGTCGCGACAAAGGCCAGCCGGACTGTTGCAACCCCTCGAGCCACCCGAACGACCGTGGCAACAGGTGACGATGGATTTCGTCACGGGGCTACCAGCTGGCACGAGTGGCAACGACTCGGTGCTGGTCGTCGTCGATCGCCTAACGAAAATGGCGCAATTCGCCCCATGCCGAACGACGATCACAGCCGAAGATACAGCCAAACTGTTCATCTCCACCGTCGTACGCCTACACGGGTTACCTTCGGCGATTATCAGCGATCGTGATCCGAAATTTACGTCGAAGTTCTGGCAGGAGACGTGGGCACAGTACGGTACCCGCCTGCAGTTTTCGTCGTCATACCACCCGCAAACCGACGGACAGACGGAACGGACAAATCAGACCATGGAGCAACTGATTCGCACCAACTGCCCCGATATTAGCAAGTGGGAGGATTCGCTGCCGATGCTGGAATTCGCGTACAACAATGCCCCGTCGGCCACGACTAAACAATCACCCTTTTTCTTAAATTACGGGATAGACCCCGTGGTACCCTCTTCAACGACCGTGGACAATCCGGTGCCAAGATCGCAGCAGTTTGTCACGGAACTGCAGACCGCCCGCAAGAAAGCAGCTGATTTCATTCGTAAGGCCAATACCACGGCCAGTCGCCAGGCGGATAAACATCGACGGAATTTACCCTTCCGCGCCGGGCAGGTTGTGCTTCTGGACACCAAGAATCTTCGGCTGCCGCAGCCCGCGAAACTATGGCCCAGATACGTGGGACCATTCCGTATCATCCAGATGGTGACACCTGTCACCGCGAAGCTGTTGCTACCCGACGACTGGAGAATTCACGACGCCTTCCACGTCAGCCTACTGCGTCATTACGAACAGCCGCAGTCGCCAGCTGTTGCTCGGCCATCTATCGCGCCGACCACACGTCCCGTGGCAGAGCCCACGCTGGAACCTTGGAAGATTCTTAACCATCGCGTGGACGTGACTGCCACAGGCCGCTCAGTGAAATTCCTGCTTCGCTGGAAAGAACGCACGAGCGAGGACGACACGTATGTCACCGCGGACTCGCTACTGGGACATCCGGTTGTGGATGCTTACCTGGCCCGACGAGGTGTCTCGGATATTCACCAACTTTCTTAAGGGGGGGGGTAGTGTAAGGAATTTTTCGGATTCCTTACTGGGTCACACTGTACGCGTACAACTCCGACTTTCGGAAAACCAGGCTCGGTCCGCCGACCTCGCCTTCCGAGCCACTACCGCGTCGCCTTCGGGCTTTCCAACCCCGAACCTGCACCCAACCATCCCGCGACCCCGCGACCTCGGCCTAGCTAGCTTTGCTATATTAGTTCTAGGCCTCGTTGTGTTCTCAGACGTTGTAATCACTTCCGCGTTATTGAATACTGCGCACTCTTCTTTCGTACAACTCATAACACTGCACATGCAGTATGTACGGTAAAAGTGGTATGCACAAACGCAAGGCAGCGGCACTACTATTGTTACGGTACAATGTTTCACCAACTGTCGCGAACTTTCCTTCCGCTGCTGCAATGTTGTAGGTGAACTTGCCCGGTCCATTATTCCGCCCAAATTGAGGACTGTCGAGTCGAGGGTGTCGGTGAATCTCAGCCCTTTGGATTGTTGGAGTTTCGAGGCATCCAACGATTAACTTTTGTTCACATCCCTCGACTTTTGTCGAGTAATGTCGTGTCAACGATTCACTAAGAACACGCGCTGAGAACTTGCTGTGTCCGAGCATGAAAATTTTCCTCCTCAAAAAAGGGATGAGGAGGAAGTGCATGGGAACTTCCCTCCTAAAAAGTCACCTCCTTGCACATGCCCTTCCTCCTCCTCATCTCACTCCTCATCTCCCTCCTCATCTCCGTCCTCATCTCCGTCCTCTTCCTCCCCCTCTCCCTCCCCATCTTCCTCCTCAACCCTCTCTCCCTCTTCCTCTTCCCCCTCTCCCACCTCCTCCTCGTCCCCGTCCCCTTCCTCCTCCTCTTGATCCCCACCCTCCTCCCCCTCATACTCATCATTCTCCACCTCTTGAGCATCCCCCATCCCATCATCACCTAATTGCTCCTCTACCCCCTCCTCTTCCTCCTCCTCATCTCCCTCATCCCCTCCCTCGTCGTCTCCTCCCTCATCTCCCTCCCCACCCTTTTGTGCATTTCCCTCCTCTTCCTCCTCCTCCACCTCCTCCTCTTCCTCCAGTTGCTCCTCTTCCTCTTCTCCATTCCCCTCTCCCTCGTTCCCCTCTTCATCCCCTCTTCCTTCTCCGTCCATCCCCCCTTCCCCTCCCTCATTCCCCTCCTCTCCCCCTTCAATCTCCTCTCCTTCATCTTCCCCTTCTCCCTCATCTCCCTCCTCCCCCTCATCTCCCTCCTCCCCCTCATCTCCCTCCTCCCCTTGATCCTCCTCCTCCACCTCCTCTGCTTCCTCTTCAGCTTCTGTATCGTCAATCATAGGAGTTGAACCCTCCACTCCCACCACCTCCTCCTCTTCCTCTTCCTCCTCTTCCTCCTCCTCTTCCCCTTCCTGCTCATCACCCTCCTCTTCCTCCTCTTCTTCTCCCCCCACCTCCTCCTCCCCTTCCTGACCTCCTTCCTCCTCCTCCTGCTCCTCCTCTTCCTCCTCCTCTTCCACCTCCTCTTCCTCCTCTCCCTCTCCCCCCTTCCCCACACCCCCTCCCTCACCTTTCTCAATATCAATCGCCATTCCAGCCCCCTCCCCACCCTCCTCCTCCTCATTCTCGTCCCCATCCCCATCCCCTCCCCCACGCATCCCTACGCCCCCACCAGCACCCCCACCCCCGTGCCCCTGTGCCTGTGTCGCGACCTTCACTGCACCTCCAAGCCCCACACTCATTGCTGCTCCTCCTGCCTCCCCTCTCGAGCCTCCTCCAGGCGATTGCAAGGCAAGTAACCGAATCTCCTGAAGCAACGGGGAGAGATAAAGAGAAAGAGGGGAAATGGCAAGACAATTGGCGCGTGTTATACGATTGGAGTGGGATAGAGCAGGAGGAGAGAGTTCGTTGGTGCTCCTGCCTCCCCTCTCGAACCTTTCCCAGGCGATTGCTAGGATAGCAACCGAACCTCCTAAGTAAGAAAGTAGGGTTGGGAAAGAAAGGAAGTGAATCCCTCTCGGCCATAGTGGAATAGAAGTGAGTGGCGGGAAGAACGCAGTACGGCAATTGTACGTGAAGTCTGAAAATGATAAGTTAAAGTAGAGTGCGAGATTCTTTGCTGATTTCATTGATGCTCGGTCAGGGGCAGAACAAAATGTTCTCATTACCAATAACCAATAAAGGTCTTATGTTTAAGGAAAATGAAGCATTATCTTACCGGAATGAACTTTGGCTTTCGACGGATCGCGAGGCAGTTTGCATCTGATTGGACGATTGCGATCGACCGGAAAAAGGAGCGCACAAATGGGGATGGCACAAACGGGGATGGCACAAACGGGGATGGCACAAACGGGGATGGCACAAACGGGGATGGCGGCAAGGAGGGCACAGAAAAAGGTTCCCAATCTTCGCTTGTAGCCTTTGCTACTGGATGCTGAAGACAGACAGGCCAAGCATCCAAAATGTCTCGCAATCCCCAAGGGTTTCATGCAGGGGGAGACAGACAGAACCATGTCATTCCTAAGTTTGGGCGAGAGTGGGGGGAGAGGGGGGGGAGGGGGTGTGGGGTGGTTTTGAGGCTTCCATCTGAGGGCGAGCAGGCGGCGGGTTGGGTGGGTGGGTCCCACGGCGGTGAGTTGACTTTTGAGTCGACTCAAAAGTCGTCCCACGGCGGTGCACTGCTTCAGAGTGCGTGTGAGGAGCAGAAGCAGCAAGCGCCTTGTGAGGCCCACGGCGCTCCACTGCTTCTGGCACTCCCCCAGGGGCGTGTGAGGAGCAGAAGCAGCAGGAGCAGAAACAGCAAGCGCCTTGTGAGGCCCACGGGAGCAGCAGAAGCACGCAGAAGACCTGATGGGCGGAGAGAGCTCGATCGCATACCTGTTGGCCCCAACAGGAAAAAGCACCCAACGTACCTGTGGCTCGCGGGGGCTGCAGTGTCCTGTCCTGTGGGACGTGTAGAAAATCTAAACCCCCCCCCCCCTCACCGCGTTGAGCAGCGACGACAGGCCTGTGGACGACACCTCCAGCGCCCCCAGCTCCTCCGGTACCTGTGGGTCGCGGGGGCTGCAGTGTCCTGTGGTACGTGTAGACGTCCTATAGAAAGTAGATTTTACACGCGGGGGCTGTGAGACGTCTCAAAAATCTACTTTCTACACGCGGGGGCTGTGAGACGTCTCAAAAAACTACTTTCTACACGCGGGGGCTGCAGTGTCCTGTGGTGCTCCTGCAGCACCAGCAGGCGGCGGGCGGGTGGGTGGGTGGGTCCCACGGCGCTGCACTGCTACTGGGACTACCCCAGGGGCGCGAGAGAAGGCAGCAACGAGAGGGGTTGATGGGCGGGGGGGTTGCGGCGTCCATCGGAGGACGAGCAGGCAGCGAGTGGGCCCCACGGCGGTTTACTGCTTGCGCTACGGCCGCACGCTTCTGCTGCTGTTGGGTGGAGCGCTCGCGTACCTGATGGTGTTGGGTGGAGCGCTCGCGTACCTGTTGGGCGGGGCGGTTGCGGAGTCCATCGGAGCACCACCAGTGGGTGGGTGGGAATCAGTCTTACAGTCTTGATCCTATTGCTTAAGTGATTCCTACAGGTTTGCAGCTTCTCCACGATGAACCTTGATCCATCGGAGCACCACCAGTCGGTGGGTGGGCTGGGCTCCGATGGTCCAGTCGAGAGCGGGGGGAGAGGGGGGGGAGGGGTTGTGGGGTGGTTTTGAGGCTTCCTGCAGGCGGCGGGTTGGGTGGGTGGGTGGGTGGGCTCCGATGGTCCAGTCGGGCCCCACGGCGTTGTGCTGCTGTTGGAGTTGGGCGGGGCGCTCGCATACCTGCTGGAGAAAAGAGCTCGTATGGCGTACCTGATGGGCGGGGCGGTTGCGGCGTCCATCTCAGGACGAGAAGGCGGCGGGTGGGCCCCACGGCGGTCCACTGCTTGCGCCAACGGCGCACGCTTCCGCTGAACGCCACCGCCGCGCCGTGACGCGCGGAGGAGCGGTTGCGCGTGCCTGCTGCCTCCATCGCGAGGCGTGCTGTCCGGTCCGTAACCGGGTAACTCTCGCTCAGTGCGACAAATTCGCGAATTTTAGTGATTTGCGACTGTTATTTAGAAGAGGAGGTTGTTAACTAACAGACCCTGTCTTCACTGGCTGCTGTCGCCCTGTAGCGGGGATAAATGATTCCGCATGCCGGCTGCTTCCAAGAAATCTACATCCAACTGGACGTTAATGTCAACAAAATTTAATTCCACGGGAGTTTAAGGGCAATCAAGGAACTGACAAGGCACACGTTCACTAAGGCAATGGAATCTACGTCAGTCAGAAAAGGTCAGTCAGAAAAGGTTGGTCAGAAAAAGCCAGTCCGAAAAGGTGACAGTACAGTACAAAAAAGTCACGGAGATCGTAACTATGACAACTGAAATAAGCCTTCAGCGACTCGCAGGCGCAGAGACTCTTCTGGAACGAGCGACTCGTAAACGCGCTGCGAGACTCCTACTAGACGCGAGGCACCAGTCACCACGCGAGAGGCCCAAGCCAAATGGGGCTCCTTGTCCGTGAATCCTGGAAACCCTAAAAGTTGCGCCTGGTTGTATGCTGTCGTACCGAGCTCTAATCAGCAAGGGCTGCAATATGTTCGTATGGATTTCGCCAGTCCCCAGTTCCTGTTGCGAAACCCCTTTGTCTGCGTACGCGAAATCTGGCGATCTGAAAGCGATGCCGAAGCGGTGTCTTCTCCAACTTGGGAGGTTGTGCAAACTTGCTCGACCAGGCAATACCGACCTGGTTTTGGCAATTCCACGACATGATTTCATTTCAAGTTTCATCCCACAGCAGTTGGAACTGACCCCACAGCAGTTGTGCCGTGATTCGCGTTTCTGTTTGTGGAAGCTTCGTGCCTGGTCTCACGGCGAAAGTGAGATAGCTATTGTGTGAGAGCGATGTGCGGTTTTTAGCTGAGAATACTCTCGGGCTAAATATTCCGGGCCGAGTTGTCGGAAGCAACTTGCAACGCCTGTCGGCTACTAATTTGAGCCATGGCTCCGCGAAACACGGCGGGGCAGGAGCCGCTTCCCTTAGCGAATCTGCGGAATTTCGCGGCGATCTGGAACGAGGGCACGGGGAGCGTGGAGCGGTGGGGAAAGAAAGTCCTAGATCGGAATTCCACGGAGCGATTCGGGAAAGACTTTCTAGATCGGAATATTGCGGAGCAATGGGGGAAAGCGCGTGGCAAAGGGACAATGAATGAGATCGTGGAGGGGTGGGGGAAGGAGTTTCAAGATCGGATCCGAAGCTTCGTTCCGCCTTCTAGAACTGCGGAGGAGCGTAGCGGCAAACGGGCGGAGGGCGGAAGGATGGCGGAAGGCGGAAGGTATGCGGCGGCGCTAGAGGCCTCATTTGGGGACGGTGACATCGTAGCGCGGATAGCGCCGGCATCAGCAGGGCGCGGCGTCGGAGTGACACGAACTTCTTTTTCATCGCGTCTGCCCTTAGCGCGTATAGAACCCCCTCCCGCTGTAGTAGCTACCTCGAGAACTGAAGAACTTACTAAAAGCGAATCCCCGGACCGCGAATGGCGGAATGGCGGCGCGGCTGACGTGGACGGAGCTGGAAGCAGCGGCTCGGCTGGACGAGGAGCCGGCGACGCCGACTCTAGCGCCGCGCCACCCTGGCAGATGCCGCTGAGGGAAGCTTCGAGGAAGGTGGCGGAGCTCGGGCGAGCAGTGAAGGGTCTATGGAAGGGGAGGAAAGATGACGTCAGCGGCGCTGGAACGGGAACAGCAGCAGATGGTGCTGGTGCGGGCAAGCAGGGCAGCAGCCTAGCCTCTCTTGCGCAGGTGAGTGAGTGGCACTGGGTGTATATTGAGTCGCCTCAAAAGCTTACCCTCACCTCTCCTTCGCAAGTGCATGAGTGGCACTAGGTGACTTTTGAGTCGCCTCAAAAGCCTAGCCTCTCTCTCTTGCGCAGGGAGAGAAAAAGACTAGCTGGCAGCAGCACTAGCTAGCGGCTAACGAGCCACACTCATCCACTTTTACGCCAGCCGCTGCCGCCTCTGCTTGTCCCGCAGCTCAGCCAGCTCTCTTCCCATGACTCATGACCCGTTTCTTCCTCCTCCGCCCCCTCGTCTGCTGCCCCCACCCCCCCCCCACCAGTGCCCTGACGCGGAGGAGAGGCAGCTGGCAGCAGCGTTAGCCAGCGGCAAATGAGCCATCCTCATCCAGTTCTACGCCCGCCTCTGCTGCCTGTATAGCTTCTTTCTCTCTTTGCCCGTTTCCTTCCGATTGCCCCACCAGTTCCCTGACGCGGAGGAAAGGCAGCTGGCAGCAGCTCTGGCCAGCAAGGGAACCACACTTATTCAGTTCCACGCCCGCCGCTGTCGCCTCTGCCGCTCGCTCAGCGTTTTCTATCTCCGTGTCGGTTCTAACTGTTTCCCTCCACCTCCCCCGCCAGTTCCCTGACGCGGAGGAGAGACAGCTAGCAGCAGCTCTGGCCAGCGGCAAACGAGCTACCCTTATCCAGTTTTACGCCCGCCGCTGCCGCCTCTGCCGGTCGCTCAGCCAGCTCACCGCTGAGCTGGCGCGACGCAACGCTGACTGGCTCAACGTGGTGCCTGCTGACGTGGAGAACAGCCGATGGCTGCCCGAGGTAAGGATTTCGGGTGTGGATTTCAGGGTTCCGGGTTTGCCTGAAATCTTTTTCCAAAAACATGCCAATTTTTTTCTCAGCCAGGCAGGTTAAAGAAATTTAGACAGGGAAAAAACCACCTGGCGTTGCTGGGTTGGGTGCGCACATTAGGCTTAGAAGAGTAGCAGCACAAATTGGAGCAGAAAAAATGTGGAGGGGGGGGGGGTTGTGACTTTTGAGGCGCCTCAAAAGTAGATTGCATTACACTGTCTGGGTAGGCTGCTGCTCCCTGTCTGGAGTGTATCACATTTACAGGTGGGGCGCTTCAGCATCAAGTACGTGCCGTGTTATGTGCTGTTGGACGGGCGGGGGGGTGAGAGCCTCTCATGCCTTATCCCCTATATTAACTCACTCTGTTTCTACCCACAGGTGGGGCACTACAGCATCAAGTATGTGCCGTGCTACGTCCTTTTGGACGCGCGGGGGAGAGCGCTGGCCAAGACAGGCGAGCCGTACAGCCGCAAGCACGTGGTGAAGGGTCTGGCTTACCTGGTGGAGTCCATCCGGCCCTACCGGCGCCGCCCTGCTGTTGTTGGAGAGGGGGTTGACGGAAAGGAGAAGCAGCAGGAGGATCAAGGGCAGGAGCAGCAGCAGGAGCAGCAGAAGCAGTAGTTGTAGCAGCAGTAGCAGCACCCGTAGCAGCAGCTGCTGCAGCAGCAGAGGCCAAGACAGGCGAGCCGTACAGCCGCAAGCACGTGGTGAAGGGGCTGGCTTACCTGGTGGAGTCCATTCGGCCCTACCGGCGCCGCCCTTCAGAGGGACAGCAGGGGGTGAGCAAGGAGCAGCAGCAGGAGGAGAAGCAGGGGCAGCAGCAGGGGCAGCAGCAGGGGCAGCAGCAGGGGCAGCAGCAGCAGTAGCAACAGCAGAAGTAGTGGTAGCGAGCAAGCACGTGGTGAAGGGGCTGGCTTACCTGGTGGAATCCATTCGGCCCTACCGCAGGCGGGCTTCAGAGGCACAACAGGGAGTAGGGAAGGAGGGGCAACAGGAGGACAAGCAGCAGCAGCAGGGGCAGCAGCAGGAGCAGGGGCAGGAGCAGGGGCAGGAGCAGCAGAAGTAGGGGTAGTTACGGCAGTGGCAAGAACAACAGCAGGCAGCACAGGAGCGCTGGCCAAGACAGGCGAGCCGTACAGCCGCAAGCACGTGGTGAAGGGTCTGGCTTACCTGGTGGAGAGCATTCGGCCCTACCGGCACCGCCCTTTTGTTGGAGATGGAAAGGAGGAGCAGCAGAGGGATGGAAAGGAGTCGCAGCAGGAGGAGCCGCAGTAGCAGGAGGAGCAGCAGTAGCAGGAGGAGCAGCAACAATAGCAGGAGCAGGCATGTGGTGAAGGGGCTGGCTTACCTGGTGGAGAGCATTCGGCCCTACCGGCGCCGCCCTGCCGTGAGAGCGTCTGAGCGGGAGGAAAGGCGGGGGGTAGGGAAGGAGCAGGAGGAGGAGCACGGGCAGCAGCAGTGGTGGTAGTAACAGCAGCAGTAACAGCAGTGATGTAGGTTAGGTGAATGTTTCGAAAGACGGTTTTGAATGTGTATTCTGTTCGGTGGTACATTAGTCCCTGCCCTTTCTATCATGTAAGCTGGTTGGTTGGTACGGATCTGAAGCAGTTTGATGCAATGGGTAGAGAACGGACAAACTATGTCATTCTTGGTAGAGTTGAACACTTTGGGCTAAGGGCCGCATGCTTTCAACTCAGCTCTTCTTTAATTAAAAAATTCATCGACGTACACTGATTTTGAAGTCCCATTTGTTGCCTAAACGGTCTCGCACTACCGAGTATGGCACACTGATGTCTCTGCTTGTGCTTCCTCCTCGCCTTCTTCCACGCCTTACTCTCGTGCTTGCTCCTCGCCTCCCTTACGCCTTACCCTCGCGCTTTCCCTAAGGTCAGAAATGGTAGTTCATCGGCCTACTGCTTCATGTCATGTTTGGCACCTAACCGCAGCATCATGCATTGAAGCCATTTTTCCTTCCCTTGCTCGCGAAGAAGTGTCGCCGCAAGATCTTAACTGTTGCGCCCGCTGCTGCTACCAAGAGCCGTCGATTTACCGCATTCGTGCAGCCACGTGGCAAGGGGCAGCGGGGCGAATGCTCTGTTTCGGCATGCCGCAGCGTGCGCCCCTTTCTCGTCGGAATCTTTCGATAAAACGTGAAGCTTCCCTTTCTGGTTCTTTGCATGCTTCAATGCGGTGAAGGCATGGCGGCGGACAACCTCTCAATCCCGAAACTGGCGCATCTCGACGTGCGTTTATCACGCGGTACACCTTTCTGGCTGCAACGACGCGGGTCTCTTTCGCTTCGCACCGCTTGACGAGTTTGTCCACCTTCAGCCGTTTTTATATCCGGCAGGGCTGCTATCGTCTTCATTACCTCCCTTCACTCCAAATTTCTTTCAGAGCTCTCGTCAACGAGGCTTGTGGCGCCTCACTGGTCTCCTAGGCTTCTCACAACTCTTACTCGGCCGTTGTCGCCAAGGGATAGTCCGAGTGGTGAGTGCTGGCTACCCCAACCTGTTACGCTCCACCTTCCACCACTAACGAGGCTTGTGGCACCTAACTGATCAAGCTGTTCCCGCATTCCTTTTTTTTTTCCACTGTCTTTTACCCTCCTTACTTTTATTCGCTCACCTCGCTCGTGCCTTCTCTTCGTCCAGGTGTCAAGCTGAGGTGAAATATCCTTGCCCTGTGAAGTTCATACCCTCGAGAATCCAATTTCAGGCACGACACTCGGTGAGTCACCCTGTTACATAATATTATTTTTATATTCAAAGCGTTTTGTGTGCTCACGAGTTCTCCTTACAGCTTCTTTTTAGATTTGTTTCCACTTTCATGTGGCTTTTGTTGTACTTGGTTCCTTGGTTTCTCCTGCTTGCGTATTGCTCCTACCTTACCAATCTCTATGCTCGGTTCTCAAGTGTAGCATATTGTACTCCCATCCAAACATTTTGCCCTCAGCTATTCCCTTGTCCCTCCGCTTGTGTTATTTCTGAACTTCACACCATTACCTTGTTGTTTTGGCCTGTGTCATCATACTCTAAATTGACTCTCATTATATTATATCATCTCATCATTGGTTGCTAGTTTGAGCAGCATCTCATGTGCTAATGCATGTTGCACTCCCCGTGCCATGCCACTGCCCATGCCCCCTCATTACTTCTCGCGCTGTTGCAGTGCCGTTTCAAAGTGCCTGCGTGTACGGAACCCAGTAAATTGTTTGCTTGTTTTAAACCCTGTTTTTTTACTTTCGCTCTATCTGCAGGGGTCTCAACATGTACTTCGCAACTTACATAGTACTGAATGGGAACTTTGTACTTGCCACCACTTTAATGGTGGTCGTGGGGGTGCTTATGTGGAATGAGTTTAGGGACAAGGGAGAAAAAGACAAACAATGATATCAAATGCAAAAGTTTTCATTGGGCCGTTGACAAATGTTATGCTAACCATGTTGCATTTTGGGTGTAATGTAGCTGTTGTGATCCATGGAATGTTATGAATGTACCCTTTTCACTATCAATGTAAATTTGGTCAGGGTGTACATTTTTATTCCACCCGATTCTGACTCGTGAAAAGGGGCGGATCTGACGAGACGCGGTCTGACCCTCGTCATTTCCACGCCCGTTGAGGTCACATCGCACCATCAAGCACATCACATCACAGAGCCTCGATTCCTTAATCATTTCCATCACCAGATCACACCACTCTGAACCGCGGCACTTTGCCGTTGGTTACATCATCGCACGTTGCCACCATACCAGGACTACTCTCAGGGCGTGAACGCTATCTGCGGAAAAGCCATAGCTGTAAAATCGATCCTGGTAACCATCATCGTCAGATGCTAAGTTGCCTCTGGCGAAAGCGCAACGCATGTTACACCCCTCACACTGCAACGGAGTCACTCAGCCCCTGTCTTGGCTGGTCCCTACGAATTCCTCTGACCTCCCGATTTCACTCTTTCATCCTTGCTTCAGTGTGTCCTTCGCATTAGAATCCCGTTGATCCGTCACGTCACATCAAGCCAGCAGAACTAAACAGAAGCATCGAGGTTGACGGAGACGGCTCGGTTGTTCCGTTGGCCCTTGTAACGACTCTATTAGTGGCGCGCCGTTGCGATCTTATTGTTCTTGCTGAAGCGATTCTTTCGAACTCCAAGCGACATTGCCTATCGTACGGTACAGTTAAAGCCCGCGTCCCAAATTGCGGGCCGCGAGGGTCAAGTTTTTAAAACTTGACGAAGTTGAGTGTCCAAGCTTTTGAAAGTCACGCACTTGCAATTTGGGACTTTCGAAGACAGATTCACTCACCAGGGGGAAAACCGAGGGTTGGCTGGGTCTCGCGAAAAAAACGAACCTAGACGAAATCGGAAACTCTCGCCAAAGCCCACACCAGAAAAACTCCCTCTGGTCAACCTGCGTTGCGACGACCAGCGACGAACAACCTGCGACGAACAACCTGCGTCGAACTAAAATCCAAGTTCGCGGATCGCACGGTTCATCGGAATCGTCGCCATGTTCTCGTGGATCGCGTCGAAACCGGCGGCGAAGGAGGAACCGCCCGTTCCCAAGAGCTTCGACCCGCTCAAGGGGCTTGGCGGAGCAGTTGCATACTACAAGGGTGCCGACTCGCAGGTCAGTCGGCCCTTATGAGCTATTAAAGATTGCATCGACTCGCAGCCGGCCGTCATTTTTTCTCGCCGGCCCCAAGAGCTTCGACCCGCGCACGGGCCTGACTGGGGGCAGTCGCATTCTACAAGGATGCCGACTCGCAGGCGATGTTTCCGGCGATTTCCGGGCGTGTTAGTTTAGGGTTACGTACTCTGTCCGTGCCGCAAAGAATGATTCCATTATAGTTGCGTTAGGCATCGTTCGTGTTGCACCTTCCGGGTATTGCAACTTTTGGACGTTCGCGTTTACTTCCCCTTCTTTTCGATCCCGCCTCGTCTGACCATCAGACCGCCGATGCTGCTGCGTCAGGCTAGCTGATCGCCTCCGCTGCTGCTTTCTACGCCAATGTCCTCTGATTAGATTTGGAAACACACTTGGCTGACAGCATTCCTTGTCTCCCTCCCTACCTCCCACCTACCCACCCCTCCGCATCCCCCCCGCCCCCTGCTCTGCTATCAGGCCGCCGATGCTGCTGCGTCAGGCAAGCTAATCGGCTCCGCTGCTGCTTTCTACGCCAATGTTGCTCGCGAGCGCCTGCTAGAAGCAGCTGACGCGGCTGTGCCCGCGGGTTCGAATCCTGCTGCTGGCAATATTTCGGGGGAAAGAGCTGCTGCCGAAATTTGCCCTGGCGTGGGCGAAATCAACGAGTTTCTGCGACGGGGGCGACGGTGCATTGACTCTGTCGCGCCGTCGCTGGCTGGTGCGGGGGAAGGCAAGGCGGAAGGCGGATCCTCCGTGCCTGCGCCGGAGCTGGACTTGAGGTTCGGGAGCGCGGCTGAGGAGCCGGTTCGGTGGCTGTTCAAAGTGGTGATTGGCAGCGAGCATGCGGGTGAGACGGGGGGAATGGCAGGGTGAAATTAGGAGAAGGGAAGGATGAAGAGGATGATGGGGGTAATGGGGGAACATGTGGAGCATTTTTTTAGTCGACTCAAAAGTTGGTTCGGTGGCTGTTCAAAGTGGTGATTGGCAGCGAGCATGCGGGTGAGATGTGTTGAAGGGGAGTGTGAGATGAGGAAAGGGAAGGATGAGGGGGGTGGGGGGGATGAGGAGTATGAGGAGGACACATAAGGTGGGATTGTCTCAGCCATCGTGTAAGCATTCTTCCACTTTTGAGAATTCTCAAAAATGATTTCCATATAGGGATCGTCTCAGCCATCGTGTATGCATTCTTCCTCGATCCCTCAGTGCCGGCCAGTGCACTGCTTCCCTACCCCCATATCCTCCAACCAATTCCGTCCATGCGCCCCCCATCCCTTCCTCCCTTCCATTCAGACCTGGACGCGATTGTCAGACCTACTTCGTTCTGGTCCATTCAGAGCCGCCCAGCTTACTCCATGCCCACCCCCTTTCCTCCAATTCATCCCTTCCTCCTTACCCTCTCTTCTCCCGCTTCCTCCCACATACTTACCAGATCTGGACGCGATTGTCTCAGCCATCGTCTACTCCTTTTTCCTGGACCATTCAGAGCCGCCCAGCGCGCGGGCGGCGGGGCTTTGTCTGCTTCCGCTGGTGCACACGAGCCGGGCGGACTTCCACCTCCGCACCGATGCAGCGTGGCTGCTGCAGGCCATGGGGGTGGACACACAGGCGCTCTTGTTTCTTGACGAGGTGAGTGGCTTTGGTGGTTACCAGGTTACCAATCGGGTATCAACAGAGGGAGCAAGAGTGGGTCGCTGGTGCACACAAGCCGGGCGGACTTCCACCTCCGCACCGATGCAGCGTGGCTGCTGCAGGCCATGGGGGTGGACACACAGGCGCTCTTGTTTCTTGACGAGGTGAGTGGCTTTGGTGGTTACCAGGTTACCAATCGGGTATCAACAGAGGGAGCAAGCGTGGGTCGCTGGTGCACACGAGCCGGCGGACTTCCACCTTCGCACCGAAGCGGCATGGCTGCTGCAGGCCAGGGGGGTGGACACATAGGCACTTCTGTTTCTTGAACGAGGTGAGAAAGAGACTCCAGTTACAGAGTTACCACCAGGGTCAATGCTGCAGGCCATGGGGGTGGACACACAGGCGCTTCTCTTCTTGGATGAGGTGAGATTGTTACCAGGTTACCACTGGGTATCCATCCATCTGAGCACCTAAATTGCCTGCATGGCTGCTGCAGGCAATGGGGGTCGACAAACAGGCACTTCTTTCTTAGATGAGGTGAGAGGTCTTCGGTACCTATTGTCTGTCTGGTTACCAGGTTACCATCGGGTATCAACAGAGAGCCGAGCCGCTGGTGCACGAGCTGGGCGGACTTCCACTTGCTGTCTGGTTTGGGTACCAAGTGATGTCAGTCGTCCTCACTCTCCCCAACCTCTCCCATCCCAACCCACCCACCCGCCATCCTCACCTCACCCGTCGATCCTTCAGGTTGATCTGCGCAAGCTGCATGGGGAGAGGCGGCTGGAAGTGTTGCCTTTTTTCTTCACTCTCCCCAACCTCTCCCAACCCAACCCAACCCACCCGGCCTCCATCCTCCCCTCACCATCAGGTTGATCTGCGCAAGCTGCACGGAGAGGGGCGGCTGCAAGTGGTGTCAGTTGTCCGCACTCTCTCTCCAACCTCTCCCAACCCAACCTAACCCACTCGCCCTCCCGTCCTCTCCTCACCATCAGGTTGATCTGCGCAAGCTGCATGGGGAGGGGCGGCTGCAAGTGGTGCTGTATGGTCACAACAAGATGCCTGCTACTATTGAGGTACCCCACCAGTGGATACTCGTTATAAGCACAGTACACTGTACAAACCCGTTATAGTCACTAGTACGTACTCGTTAGAGTCACAGGAGAGAGGTGGCTGCAAGGGGTGATGTATGGCCACAACAAGATGCCTGCTACTATTGAGGTACCTCACTAGTACATACTCATTATAAACAGTAGTACGTACTCGTTACAGTAGGTGGTGTACACAACAAGATGCCCTCTTTTATTTCGTACATGCATGCTCGTTATATGTACTGGCACATGACATTCTCATTCTTGACACTCGTACGTACTCGTTATAGACTAGTACGTACCTAAGTTGGAAATACGCTCAAATGAGTTTGAGTATAAGTGCACTAAAAATATGCCGAAACACGCACGGGCAGATAAAGAAAAAAAAGTTGGGTTTGAGCTTGCGAAGTAGCGAACTCAAATCTGGTCTTCGCAAATTCGCTCTCAATCTGACTTTGAATTTTGTAGCCGATGGACAACAACAGCAGTCCTAGCGGCGTGCTCCACCCCTTTCCCAACGCCCTCACCCCTTTTTCTATGCCCTCCAACCTTTTTCGGACGCCTGCCACCCATTTCCCAACGCCTCCCGGCCCCCCCACTTTTCCGCCCTCCATCACTTTTCCAATGTCCCTCACCCTTTTTCCAATGCATACACCACCATCACCGCAGTTAGTGGTGGGGTGCGTGAAAAAAGGTGTGGGGGGTATTGCAAACGTGGTGGGGAACGGAAAAGTGGGGGGGCCGGGAGGCGTCGGGAAATGGGTGGCAGGCGTCCGAAAAAGGTTGGAGGGCATAGAAAAAGGGGTGAGGGGCGTTGGGAAAGGGGTGGAGCACGTCGCTTAGACTGCTCACCCTGTGCCTGTCTCCCCGCACCCTCTCTCTTCTCGACCCGTCTCCCCTCCCCTCACTCGCTCTCCCCTCGCTCTCACCTTTCCCTTTCTGCCCTCACGCTCTTCATCTCTTCGCACTTGTCTAAATGTCTTCATGTATCCGCACCGACCCTCTGCACCCCTCGTCACCCCTCTGCACCCCTGTTCCAGCAGGGCATGGAAAAGGCTGTGGCGGAAATCATTCCGCGGGAAACAGTGAGTGTCAGAAAGAAAGCTCATGCACAGGAGTATTGATGGCTTTTAAGTTTAGATATTTGAGGCGGATGGGATGGGGTGGGCGACTGTCTCGCACATGTGGTGTGGAAGGATGGGACTGCTTGAAAAATCTGGTGGTTGTTAAAATCGCATTATATCCATTTCAATGTTTCTCCTGTCATTGAATCGTTACTGAATTTTTGGATCTACACTGTCTGCCCGGCCATCTCTGCTCTCTTTCCGTTTTTCAATATTCTCCTCACGTTTTTGTCCTCTTTCTTTTGTCTATTCTATTAGCACTTCTGTGGCTTTTCACTTAGGCATCCGTATTCCTGTCAAGAAGCAATAGTCATGTTAGTGACCCTGTTCCCGGGTTGAGGGTGGGGAACAGGGAACGGTCATCTCACATCCCATCTTCCCGCGAACAGCAGAAGAGGCAAGTCACCCTTTTTGAGACGCCTTTTCGTTTCTCTCTTCCCATCCCCCTTTGCTTTTCATGATACATACCGTGCTCCCCCTGCCACAGGAACAGCTGCCTTGGCTTCAATTATTGGAGCTCCTTGTGCATCACATCTATGATTTATCCCCTCTTCTCTCGCGTTCTCTCTTGCTCTCCTCGCATCCCACCAGGGCGTTTTTGAGACGTCTCAAAAACACCCTCACCTCACGTGTCTTCTCTCGCGTTCTCTCTTGCTCTCCCCGCATCTCATCCCGCCAGGGCAGCAGCTGTGCCACCATGCTAGCTCGCCGCCTCTCAGAGGAGGCCCCTCACCTCCTCCTCAACACCGCTCTTGCACGCCTGCTGGTGAGTTTAGAGTGTCAGAGTAAGTGGTGTTGACTCCTTGGTTGACTGTTGGGTAGTGTCTAGTCTAAAGCTCGCCTCACAAGCTCTCAGAGCAGACACCTCACCTGACACCTCCTCCTCAACACTGCGCTTGCACGCCTGCTGGTGAGTGTAGACTATACACTGTAGAGTGGGAGGGGAAGGGGCGGTGGCTGGCTCCTTTACCGACTGCTTCTTGTACAAGGTTGCCTCATAGAGGTTGCCTCATAGAGGTTGCCTCATAGAGGTTGCCTCATAGAGGTTGCCTCATAGAGGTTGCCTCATAGAGGTTGCCTCATAGAGGTTGCCTCATAGAGGTTGCCTCATAGAGGTTGCCTCATAGAGGTTGCCTCATAGAGGTTGCCTCATAGAGGTTGCCTCATAGAGGTTGCCTCATAGAGGTTGCCTCATAGAGGTTGCCTCATAGAGGTTGCCTCATAGAGGTTGCCTCATAGAGGTTGCCTCATAGAGGTTGCCTCGCCGCCTCTCAGAGGAAGCCCCTCTCCTCCTTCTCAACATCGCACTTGCGTGCCTGCTGGTGAGTCATGGGTGGGGGTGAGAGTGCAAAAGAAGAGGCGGTGCGGTGGCATCTCGGGTGAGAGTAAGAATGCAGCTGTGTGGGGAAGAGTGAGATTAAGAGCGCTGGCTTCCTGGCTGCTCTGCCCTGGAAACGTACGACTTTTGAGGCGCCTCAAAAGATTAAGAGCGCTGGCTTCCTGGCTGCTCTGCCCTGGAAACGTACGACTTTTGAGGCGCCTCAAAAGATTAAGAGCGCTGGCTTCCTGGCTGCTCTGCCCTGGAAACGTACGACTTTTGAGGCGCCTCAAAAGATTAAGAGCGCTGGCTTCCTGGCTGCTCTGCCCTGGAAACGTACGTTTCCACATGTCTTCACATCCCCACATTGCAGCCATTCTCACGTGCACCAACAACTTGGATCCAGGGCAGAGCAGTGAGGTGCTGTGTAGGAGGATTGCACTCATAGCCGTCTCTAACCCCTCCCCACCCCTCCACCATCAGCTCGCAGCCATTCTCACGTGCACCAACAACCTGGATCCAGGGCAGAGCAGCGAGGTGGGTGCCAGCAGCATAGCAGCGTGGCGGCATTCCTTGTGGGCCCAACTGGCCCACCGCTTTCTCTCCATCCCCTCTCGCCCTGCCCCCTCCCTCCCACTTGCAGCTCGCAGCCATTCTCACGTGCACCAACAATTTAGATCCGGGGTAAAGCAGCGAGGTGGATGGCAGCATGGATTGTAGCATGGGCTTATTATTTACTCTCCATCCCCTCTCACCCCACTTTCCGCAGCCATTCTCACGTGCACCAACAACCTGGATCCAGGGCAGAGCAGCGAGGTGGATGCCAGCATGGCTTGCTGTTGCTGTGAGGCCCATCGGCACACGGATTCCTCTCCACTGATTCCTCTCCACTCCACTTCTATCCCCTTTTGCAGCTCGCAGCCATTCTCACGTGCACCAACAACCTGGATCCAGGGCAGAGCAGCGAGGTGGATGCCAGCATGGCTTGCTGTTGCTGTGAGGCCCATCGGCACACGGATTCCTCTCCACTGATTCCTCTCCACTCCACTTCTATCCCCTTTTGCAGCTCGCAGCCATTCTCACGTGCACCAACAACCTGGATCCAGGGCAGAGCAGCGAGGTGGATGCCAGCATGGCTTGCTGTTGCTGTGAGGCCCATCGGCACACGGATTCCTCTCCACTGATTCCTCTCCACTCCACTTCTATCCCCTTTTGCAGCTCGCAGCCATTCTCACGTGCACCAACAACCTGGATCCAGGGCAGAGCAGCGAGGTGGATGCCAGCATGGCTTGCTGTTGCTGTGAGGCCCATCGGCACACGGATTCCTCTCCACTGATTCCTCTCCACTCCACTTCTATCCCCTTTTGCAGCTCGCAGCCATTCTCACGTGCACCAACAACCTGGATCCAGGGCAGAGCAGCGAGGTGGATGCCAGCATGGCTTGCTGTTGCTGTGAGGCCCATCGGCACACGGATTCCTCTCCACTGATTCCTCTCCACTCCACTTCTATCCCCTTTTGCAGCTCGCAGCCATTCTCACGTGCACCAACAACCTGGATCCAGGGCAGAGCAGCGAGGTGGATGCCAGCATGGCTTGCTGTTGCTGTGAGGCCCATCGGCACACGGATTCCTCTCCACTGATTCCTCTCCACTCCACTTCTATCCCCTTTTGCAGCTCGCAGCCATTCTCACGTGCACCAACAACCTGGATCCAGGGCAGAGCAGCGAGGTGGATGCCAGCATGGCTTGCTGTTGCTGTGAGGCCCATCGGCACACGGATTCCTCTCCACTGATTCCTCTCCACTCCACTTCTATCCCCTTTTGCAGCTCGCAGCCATTCTCACGTGCACCAACAACCTGGATCCAGGGCAGAGCAGCGAGGTGGATGCCAGCATGGCTTGCTGTTGCTGTGAGGCCCATCGGCACACGGATTCCTCTCCACTGATTCCTCTCCACTCCACTTCTATCCCCTTTTGCAGCTCGCAGCCATTCTCACGTGCACCAACAACCTGGATCCAGGGCAGAGCAGCGAGGTGGATGCCAGCATGGCTTGCTGTTGCTGTGAGGCCCATCGGCACACGGATTCCTCTCCACTGATTCCTCTCCACTCCACTTCTATCCCCTTTTGCAGCTCGCAGCCATTCTCACGTGCACCAACAACCTGGATCCAGGGCAGAGCAGCGAGGTGGATGCCAGCATGGCTTGCTGTTGCTGTGAGGCCCATCGGCACACGGATTCCTCTCCACTGATTCCTCTCCACTCCACTTCTATCCCCTTTTGCAGCTCGCAGCCATTCTCACGTGCACCAACAACCTGGATCCAGGGCAGAGCAGCGAGGTGGATGCCAGCATGGCTTGCTGTTGCTGTGAGGCCCATCGGCACACGGATTCCTCTCCACTGATTCCTCTCCACTCCACTTCTATCCCCTTTTGCAGCTCGCAGCCATTCTCACGTGCACCAACAACCTGGATCCAGGGCAGAGCAGCGAGGTGGATGCCAGCATGGCTTGCTGTTGCTGTGAGGCCCATCGGCACACGGATTCCTCTCCACTGATTCCTCTCCACTCCACTTCTATCCCCTTTTGCAGCTCGCAGCCATTCTCACGTGCACCAACAACCTGGATCCAGGGCAGAGCAGCGAGGTGGATGCCAGCATGGCTTGCTGTTGCTGTGAGGCCCATCGGCACACGGATTCCTCTCCACTGATTCCTCTCCACTCCACTTCTATCCCCTTTTGCAGCTCGCAGCCATTCTCACGTGCACCAACAACCTGGATCCAGGGCAGAGCAGCGAGGTGGATGCCAGCATGGCTTGCTGTTGCTGTGAGGCCCATCGGCACACGGATTCCTCTCCACTGATTCCTCTCCACTCCACTTCTATCCCCTTTTGCAGCTCGCAGCCATTCTCACGTGCACCAACAACCTGGATCCAGGGCAGAGCAGCGAGGTGGATGCCAGCATGGCTTGCTGTTGCTGTGAGGCCCATCGGCACACGGATTCCTCTCCACTGATTCCTCTCCACTCCACTTCTATCCCCTTTTGCAGCTCGCAGCCATTCTCACGTGCACCAACAACCTGGATCCAGGGCAGAGCAGCGAGGTGGATGCCAGCATGGCTTGCTGTTGCTGTGAGGCCCATCGGCACACGGATTCCTCTCCACTGATTCCTCTCCACTCCACTTCTATCCCCTTTTGCAGCTCGCAGCCATTCTCACGTGCACCAACAACCTGGATCCAGGGCAGAGCAGCGAGGTGGATGCCAGCATGGCTTGCTGTTGCTGTGAGGCCCATCGGCACACGGATTCCTCTCCACTGATTCCTCTCCACTCCACTTCTATCCCCTTTTGCAGCTCGCAGCCATTCTCACGTGCACCAACAACCTGGATCCAGGGCAGAGCAGCGAGGTGGATGCCAGCATGGCTTGCTGTTGCTGTGAGGCCCATCGGCACACGGATTCCTCTCCACTGATTCCTCTCCACTCCACTTCTATCCCCTTTTGCAGCTCGCAGCCATTCTCACGTGCACCAACAACCTGGATCCAGGGCAGAGCAGCGAGGTGGATGCCAGCATGGCTTGCTGTTGCTGTGAGGCCCATCGGCACACGGATTCCTCTCCACTGATTCCTCTCCACTCCACTTCTATCCCCTTTTGCAGCTCGCAGCCATTCTCACGTGCACCAACAACCTGGATCCAGGGCAGAGCAGCGAGGTGGATGCCAGCATGGCTTGCTGTTGCTGTGAGGCCCATCGGCACACGGATTCCTCTCCACTGATTCCTCTCCACTCCACTTCTATCCCCTTTTGCAGCTCGCAGCCATTCTCACGTGCACCAACAACCTGGATCCAGGGCAGAGCAGCGAGGTGGATGCCAGCATGGCTTGCTGTTGCTGTGAGGCCCATCGGCACACGGATTCCTCTCCACTGATTCCTCTCCACTCCACTTCTATCCCCTTTTGCAGCTCGCAGCCATTCTCACGTGCACCAACAACCTGGATCCAGGGCAGAGCAGCGAGGTGGATGCCAGCATGGCTTGCTGTTGCTGTGAGGCCCATCGGCACACGGATTCCTCTCCACTGATTCCTCTCCACTCCACTTCTATCCCCTTTTGCAGCTCGCAGCCATTCTCACGTGCACCAACAACCTGGATCCAGGGCAGAGCAGCGAGGTGGATGCCAGCATGGCTTGCTGTTGCTGTGAGGCCCATCGGCACACGGATTCCTCTCCACTGATTCCTCTCCACTCCACTTCTATCCCCTTTTGCAGCTCGCAGCCATTCTCACGTGCACCAACAACCTGGATCCAGGGCAGAGCAGCGAGGTGGATGCCAGCATGGCTTGCTGTTGCTGTGAGGCCCATCGGCACACGGATTCCTCTCCACTGATTCCTCTCCACTCCACTTCTATCCCCTTTTGCAGCTCGCAGCCATTCTCACGTGCACCAACAACCTGGATCCAGGGCAGAGCAGCGAGGTGGATGCCAGCATGGCTTGCTGTTGCTGTGAGGCCCATCGGCACACGGATTCCTCTCCACTGATTCCTCTCCACTCCACTTCTATCCCCTTTTGCAGCTCGCAGCCATTCTCACGTGCACCAACAACCTGGATCCAGGGCAGAGCAGCGAGGTGGATGCCAGCATGGCTTGCTGTTGCTGTGAGGCCCATCGGCACACGGATTCCTCTCCACTGATTCCTCTCCACTCCACTTCTATCCCCTTTTGCAGCTCGCAGCCATTCTCACGTGCACCAACAACCTGGATCCAGGGCAGAGCAGCGAGGTGGATGCCAGCATGGCTTGCTGTTGCTGTGAGGCCCATCGGCACACGGATTCCTCTCCACTGATTCCTCTCCACTCCACTTCTATCCCCTTTTGCAGCTCGCAGCCATTCTCACGTGCACCAACAACCTGGATCCAGGGCAGAGCAGCGAGGTGGATGCCAGCATGGCTTGCTGTTGCTGTGAGGCCCATCGGCACACGGATTCCTCTCCACTGATTCCTCTCCACTCCACTTCTATCCCCTTTTGCAGCTCGCAGCCATTCTCACGTGCACCAACAACCTGGATCCAGGGCAGAGCAGCGAGGTGGATGCCAGCATGGCTTGCTGTTGCTGTGAGGCCCATCGGCACACGGATTCCTCTCCACTGATTCCTCTCCACTCCACTTCTATCCCCTTTTGCAGCTCGCAGCCATTCTCACGTGCACCAACAACCTGGATCCAGGGCAGAGCAGCGAGGTGGATGCCAGCATGGCTTGCTGTTGCTGTGAGGCCCATCGGCACACGGATTCCTCTCCACTGATTCCTCTCCACTCCACTTCTATCCCCTTTTGCAGCTCGCAGCCATTCTCACGTGCACCAACAACCTGGATCCAGGGCAGAGCAGCGAGGTGGATGCCAGCATGGCTTGCTGTTGCTGTGAGGCCCATCGGCACACGGATTCCTCTCCACTGATTCCTCTCCACTCCACTTCTATCCCCTTTTGCAGCTCGCAGCCATTCTCACGTGCACCAACAACCTGGATCCAGGGCAGAGCAGCGAGGTGGATGCCAGCATGGCTTGCTGTTGCTGTGAGGCCCATCGGCACACGGATTCCTCTCCACTGATTCCTCTCCACTCCACTTCTATCCCCTTTTGCAGCTCGCAGCCATTCTCACGTGCACCAACAACCTGGATCCAGGGCAGAGCAGCGAGGTGGATGCCAGCATGGCTTGCTGTTGCTGTGAGGCCCATCGGCACACGGATTCCTCTCCACTGATTCCTCTCCACTCCACTTCTATCCCCTTTTGCAGCTCGCAGCCATTCTCACGTGCACCAACAACCTGGATCCAGGGCAGAGCAGCGAGGTGGATGCCAGCATGGCTTGCTGTTGCTGTGAGGCCCATCGGCACACGGATTCCTCTCCACTGATTCCTCTCCACTCCACTTCTATCCCCTTTTGCAGCTCGCAGCCATTCTCACGTGCACCAACAACCTGGATCCAGGGCAGAGCAGCGAGGTGGATGCCAGCATGGCTTGCTGTTGCTGTGAGGCCCATCGGCACACGGATTCCTCTCCACTGATTCCTCTCCACTCCACTTCTATCCCCTTTTGCAGCTCGCAGCCATTCTCACGTGCACCAACAACCTGGATCCAGGGCAGAGCAGCGAGGTGGATGCCAGCATGGCTTGCTGTTGCTGTGAGGCCCATCGGCACACGGATTCCTCTCCACTGATTCCTCTCCACTCCACTTCTATCCCCTTTTGCAGCTCGCAGCCATTCTCACGTGCACCAACAACCTGGATCCAGGGCAGAGCAGCGAGGTGGATGCCAGCATGGCTTGCTGTTGCTGTGAGGCCCATCGGCACACGGATTCCTCTCCACTGATTCCTCTCCACTCCACTTCTATCCCCTTTTGCAGCTCGCAGCCATTCTCACGTGCACCAACAACCTGGATCCAGGGCAGAGCAGCGAGGTGGATGCCAGCATGGCTTGCTGTTGCTGTGAGGCCCATCGGCACACGGATTCCTCTCCACTGATTCCTCTCCACTCCACTTCTATCCCCTTTTGCAGCTCGCAGCCATTCTCACGTGCACCAACAACCTGGATCCAGGGCAGAGCAGCGAGGTGGATGCCAGCATGGCTTGCTGTTGCTGTGAGGCCCATCGGCACACGGATTCCTCTCCACTGATTCCTCTCCACTCCACTTCTATCCCCTTTTGCAGCTCGCAGCCATTCTCACGTGCACCAACAACCTGGATCCAGGGCAGAGCAGCGAGGTGGATGCCAGCATGGCTTGCTGTTGCTGTGAGGCCCATCGGCACACGGATTCCTCTCCACTGATTCCTCTCCACTCCACTTCTATCCCCTTTTGCAGCTCGCAGCCATTCTCACGTGCACCAACAACCTGGATCCAGGGCAGAGCAGCGAGGTGGATGCCAGCATGGCTTGCTGTTGCTGTGAGGCCCATCGGCACACGGATTCCTCTCCACTGATTCCTCTCCACTCCACTTCTATCCCCTTTTGCAGCTCGCAGCCATTCTCACGTGCACCAACAACCTGGATCCAGGGCAGAGCAGCGAGGTGGATGCCAGCATGGCTTGCTGTTGCTGTGAGGCCCATCGGCACACGGATTCCTCTCCACTGATTCCTCTCCACTCCACTTCTATCCCCTTTTGCAGCTCGCAGCCATTCTCACGTGCACCAACAACCTGGATCCAGGGCAGAGCAGCGAGGTGGATGCCAGCATGGCTTGCTGTTGCTGTGAGGCCCATCGGCACACGGATTCCTCTCCACTGATTCCTCTCCACTCCACTTCTATCCCCTTTTGCAGCTCGCAGCCATTCTCACGTGCACCAACAACCTGGATCCAGGGCAGAGCAGCGAGGTGGATGCCAGCATGGCTTGCTGTTGCTGTGAGGCCCATCGGCACACGGATTCCTCTCCACTGATTCCTCTCCACTCCACTTCTATCCCCTTTTGCAGCTCGCAGCCATTCTCACGTGCACCAACAACCTGGATCCAGGGCAGAGCAGCGAGGTGGATGCCAGCATGGCTTGCTGTTGCTGTGAGGCCCATCGGCACACGGATTCCTCTCCACTGATTCCTCTCCACTCCACTTCTATCCCCTTTTGCAGCTCGCAGCCATTCTCACGTGCACCAACAACCTGGATCCAGGGCAGAGCAGCGAGGTGGATGCCAGCATGGCTTGCTGTTGCTGTGAGGCCCATCGGCACACGGATTCCTCTCCACTGATTCCTCTCCACTCCACTTCTATCCCCTTTTGCAGCTCGCAGCCATTCTCACGTGCACCAACAACCTGGATCCAGGGCAGAGCAGCGAGGTGGATGCCAGCATGGCTTGCTGTTGCTGTGAGGCCCATCGGCACACGGATTCCTCTCCACTGATTCCTCTCCACTCCACTTCTATCCCCTTTTGCAGCTCGCAGCCATTCTCACGTGCACCAACAACCTGGATCCAGGGCAGAGCAGCGAGGTGGATGCCAGCATGGCTTGCTGTTGCTGTGAGGCCCATCGGCACACGGATTCCTCTCCACTGATTCCTCTCCACTCCACTTCTATCCCCTTTTGCAGCTCGCAGCCATTCTCACGTGCACCAACAACCTGGATCCAGGGCAGAGCAGCGAGGTGGATGCCAGCATGGCTTGCTGTTGCTGTGAGGCCCATCGGCACACGGATTCCTCTCCACTGATTCCTCTCCACTCCACTTCTATCCCCTTTTGCAGCTCGCAGCCATTCTCACGTGCACCAACAACCTGGATCCAGGGCAGAGCAGCGAGGTGGATGCCAGCATGGCTTGCTGTTGCTGTGAGGCCCATCGGCACACGGATTCCTCTCCACTGATTCCTCTCCACTCCACTTCTATCCCCTTTTGCAGCTCGCAGCCATTCTCACGTGCACCAACAACCTGGATCCAGGGCAGAGCAGCGAGGTGGATGCCAGCATGGCTTGCTGTTGCTGTGAGGCCCATCGGCACACGGATTCCTCTCCACTGATTCCTCTCCACTCCACTTCTATCCCCTTTTGCAGCTCGCAGCCATTCTCACGTGCACCAACAACCTGGATCCAGGGCAGAGCAGCGAGGTGGATGCCAGCATGGCTTGCTGTTGCTGTGAGGCCCATCGGCACACGGATTCCTCTCCACTGATTCCTCTCCACTCCACTTCTATCCCCTTTTGCAGCTCGCAGCCATTCTCACGTGCACCAACAACCTGGATCCAGGGCAGAGCAGCGAGGTGGATGCCAGCATGGCAGCGTTCCTGGCCGTTGGATCGAGGTGCCTCGGGCGAAACGTTTTCTATGAGATTTGTGAGTGAGATGTGTAATATGGTATTCACGATTGATGCAAAGTATATTGTCTTAGCGCACATATCTTGTGGTGAGATGTGTAATATGATATTTATGATTGATGCTCTTGGCAACGAGCTAATTGCAGAGAGAAGAAAACTTCCTTCGGTTCGAGCTTTAGGCTTCCTCCTTCCGTTCTCTGCGTTCTTCCTCTTTCCCCCGTCAGTGCGTTATAAGAAGTACAACCAAGCATTAGCGCATCGCTCACTACTGAGTACCTCCGTTGTGTTCATTTGTTCCTGCATTTCTTCCCCTCTCCATACGTTCCTTGGGTCCCTCCCCTCTCTCCCTTCCGCTCCCAGTGCGAGACAAGAAATACAACCAGGCATCGCTCACTACTGAGGAACTCCTTAGGGCGGATATAGTGCAGCATGCCATGGGACCCGGTGAGTGCAGCATGCAGTGGGCCCTGGTGAGTGCAGCATGCCATGGGCCCTAAGTAAACACAGTATATTGTCGGTGTCACACCATACGGTATGTTGTGTTCTGTGGCACTACTGAGGAACTGCTTAGAGCGGATATTGTGGACCATGCCATGGGCCCTGGTGAGTGCAGCATACGACCAGTAGGCACAGTATATTTTCAGTGTCACACAATGTGTTGTGTTCTGTGGCACTACTGAGGAACTCCTTAGAGCGGATATTGTGGAGCCATGGGCCCCGGTGAGTGCAGCATGTGGATGTGGCAGGCACACCACACAAGACAAGTATAACGTATATGCATATGTATATCTATAAATATTTTTTTGGGAAATGGATAAAGGTCTATACATATACTTTTTTAAACGTGTTTTTTTATAATGCGTGCAACATGGCATGGGTCCTGGCGAGTGCATTGCAGCATGTGTATTTGGGGTTTATAGTACATTGTAGTACGCAATACACACATTGTGCAGGGTGCAGGGTGGATACATTGCCATACATTGTACAATGTGCAGGGTGCAGCACATTGTGGTGCTGATAGTCAGCACGCAATACACACATTGTATGGCATGGGCACAACAGCACAGTGTGTGATGGTGCGGTGCTGCAGGGTGCCAAGAACGCATGCAACGGTATGCCGCAACGTCGTGTGCCATAGTAACGAGGTGACTTTTGAGTCGACTCAAAAATTGAGTCGACTCAAAAGGCAGAGAACGCATGCATGCAACGGTATGCCACAATGTGATAACACACGCATGTGCTTGTAACCGCTGTTCTCCCACTGCCTGTGCGCGGAGCAAGAAGAGCAGAGAGGTGTTGAGTGTAGGTAGCGAAAGGAATGTGGGAAGCTCCACCTGTGATGTGCCCTTCATGTGCATGTTTCCTCGTTTGCGCCTGCACCCTCTGCTGGGACAGGTGTGCGCGGCAAGAAGGGCGGGGAGGTGCTGAACGTGGCGATATCAAATGTGGGAAGCTCCACATCGCAGCTGGTCAACAAGGACGCCAAGTTTGAGGAGATTCTCAAGCAGTTCCTCTGTGAGTGCTGGCTGGGGTGGGGATTAGGGTACATACAGGTAGATTCACGCACACCCCCCATGCATGCACCTCGCAGCTCCACATTCCACCTCGCAGCTGGTCAGCAAGGACGCCAAGTTCGAGGAGATTCATAAACGGTTTCTCTGTGAGTCGGTAGGGGTGTGGTTACCAGGGCAGGTGGAGGGCAGTGGTCCTGCTCTGATGTGGGCAGCTCCACCTCTGATGTAGGGTGCATGCAGCTGATCAACAAGGACGCCAAGTTTGAGGAGATTCTGAAGCAGTTCCTCTGTGAGTGCTGGGGACAGCGGATAGGGGTACAATGCTAGATTCACCCACACCACACCCTCCATGCACCTCGCAGCTGGTGAACAAGGATGCCAGGTTCGAAGAGATCCTGAAGCAGTTCCTCTGTGAGTGCTGGGGACAGCGGAACATAGGGCACATGCATCTGTGGTGTGGGGTGTGGTTAGAGTGCAAGAGAGGTGGGGGGCAGTGGTCCTGGTCGAATGGGGGCAGCTCCACTCCACCTCGCAGCAGCAGCTGGTCTACAAGGACTCAAGTTCGAGGAGAGACTTATCCTCTCTCTCTGTCCTTCTCGCTCTCCTCTCCTCACACGTCCCCTCTCCGTCTCTCATTCTCCCCCACACCCACCAGCCACTCGCTCGCTGCACCTGCTGGTCATCCTCTCTACATACTATTCTGAAACCAGCAAACGCTTCAAGGTACACTACATTTCCTGCATCATCTGTAGTATCGCAGTTTAAATCACTTCTGAGAATTCTCAAGCCTGATTTCTACTCGACATATTCTACTCGACATATTCTGCATCACCTGTAGTATCTTCGTTTCTCCCAGTTCCGCCAAATTCCACCCCCTCCTCTTCCACCCCCCTCCTCTTCCACCCCCCTCCTTCCATCCAAGCCGTTCTTTTTGAGACGTGAGATCATCGTATTGTCTTGGACCCCTTACCCTGAAGAACCTTACTTTGTTTTAAGAATTCTTACATGTGACTTCTGAGAAATTTCTAGAGATTCCGAATGCTGCTCTGCTGCTCGCCCCAATGCCCATCAATCTCAGAGGGAGCTGGTGCTGGCGACCCCCCTCTCCTCGCTCTATTCGGGCCTCTCCTTCCTCCTCCAGAAGGAGTCCCAATGCCTCCCCGATCCACCCTCTGCTCCCCCTGATCCCTCCTCTTCTCGCCCTCCTGCTCGACCGAATGCCCAACCATCTCAGAAGGAGCTGGTGCTGGCAACCCCTCTCGCCTCGCTCTCCTCGGGCCTCTCCTTCCTCCTCCAGAAGGAATCCCAATGCCTCCCCGATCCACCCTCTGCTCCCCCTGCTGCTCGCCCTACTTTTCACCCAGTTCCAATGCCCGCCCATCTCAGAGGGAGCTCGTGCTGGCGACCCCCCTCACCTCCCTCTCCTCAGGCCTCTCCTCCTTCCTGCAAAAGGAGTCTCATTTCCTTCCCCTAATCCCTCCTCTGCTTGTCCTGCTGCCCCTGTTGCTGCCCCCTGTGCTGTTTGCCCCAATGCCCGTCCGTCCATCTCAGAGGGAGCTGGTGCTGGCGACCCCTCTCACCTCGCTCTCCCCAGGGCGCTCCTTCCCCCTTCAGAAGTCCCAGTGCCTCACCTGATCCTCCCTACATTCGCTTTGCTGCCCCTGCTGCTGCCCCTTGTTCTTCTCGCCCCAATGCCCGTCCATCTCAGAGGGAGCTGGTGCTGGCGACCCCTCTCGCCTCGCTCTCCTCGGGCCTCTCCTTCTTCCTCCAGAAGGAATCGCACGACCTGCGCCTGCGACCCGTCACCATTCGAGGTAAGGTTGCCCTTTGCTGTACAGGGATAGGCTACGGTACGCGCGTTCTTGCCCCTCTCCTCCCTCTCCTCGGGCCTCTCCTTCTTCTTCCAGAAGGAATCACACGACCTGCGCCTGCGACCAGTCGCCATTCGAGGTGGGTCTGGCCTTTACAGTCACAGTGGCCAGTCACCATTCGAGGTGAGTCTGGCCTTTACAGTCACAGTGGCCAGTCACCATTCGAGGTGAGTCTGGCCTTTACAGTCACAGTGGCCACTCACCATCCGAGGTGTGTATGCCCTTACAGTCACAGTGGCCAGTCACCACTCGAGGTGAGTCTGGCCTTTACAGTCACAGCGACCAGTCACCATTCGAGGTGTGTATGCCCTTACAGTCACAGTGGCCAGTCACCATTCGAGGTGAGTCTGGCCTTTACAATCACAGCGACCAGCCACCATTCGAGGTGAGTCTGGCCTTTACAGTCACAGTGGCCAGTCACCATCCGAGGTGAGTCTGGCCTTTACAGTCACAGTGGCCAGTCACCATCCGAGGTGAGTCTGGCCTTTACAGTCACAGTGGCCAGTCACCATTCGAGGTTAGTGCACCTCTGCTTGCAACAAGTCACCATTCGATCAGTTCAATGTGTGTCTTTTGAAGTTACAATCACACTCAGCTCTTCAGAATCAGATCATTATTCGAGGAGTATCCGCCTCAATATGACCAGGCTTCCAGATCCGTGACATTTGCATCCCATATCAAATCTGTTTACTGCTGTACCTTGGTTCTCTCACAGGTCCTAGGGCTTCAATCTTAGCCCAGCACTCTAAACCCCAGCACCATTGGCATACCGTATCACCTCCCTAAACTTTGGAACCTTGTTGGTTGTTCAACCTTGCACTTTGATGCTTTTTTTCTGCAGGCATGCCCAATTGGCTCAAGGCGTTCACGCTCGGTAACCCTGTTACCACACGCACTGATGTGGAGCACCTGCTTGTTGAGTATTTTGAGGACGGAAGGTGAATGGCCAAGGCGAAGGTGGTACTCGTATGACATGGAGATTCGTCACCGTAGAAAAACAAAGTAAAAAAAAAAAAAAAAAAAAAAAAAAAAAAATAGTAGTTGTGTAAGGATGTCCGGTGCATACTGATGGTCCTTATAATGTCCTACCATATCACATGCCAAGCATCTCTGTAATTTCCTGCATTAGGATCGTGGAAACTGCATTTGGAGCAGCACATTATCATGCCTGAATTCCAATATCAGTCATTCAAGAACACTCAACTCAACTACCCAATATGATGCGATCTGTTTGTAGCAGGGAATTAGCTTGAACGGTGTTTCAGTATAAATTGATGGGACGAGAAGTGTACAGTTCTTGCGTCGCGAGCCGCTCGCTCGCCACCAGTCAGCCGGCGTTTTTGCAGGTGGGATGGCCAATGAAAACTCTTCGTACGGCCAGTCGTCGGACTGTGCGACCTGGGTTGCGTCAGGCATTTCTGCATCCGAAGGGATCACATCGGTGCGCCGCTTTTGCACTCTCAAAACCACGACCTCGTCAGTCCACACCACAACAAATCTAGCCCCATTTTGCAGGCAAACGAGTTGAGATTTGCAGCAAATCACGCGCCGCGGGACTTGTCCCAATGTGCGACTCGGTTGCTGACGCGCAAACATCCCGCGGAAACCTCTGCCGCCGCCAAACCCCTGCAAGCACTGTTCCCGCCTGCCAAACCGAAGGCCCTCCGCATGTTTCCCCACCTTCGCATGTTCTCCTGTTGTTTCCTAGCAACATCCTCAAACCTAAGAACCGTACCCAACCTTCTCATAACCATATCTCTCTCCCGCGCCACAACCAGCAACAAGCTGCTTCTGCGCAAACTCTTCCGAACGGGGACTTCGCTATCGTCCTGCTTCCGCGACCCCCTCTGGTCCATGCTTACAGAGGAGGCAGAGGAGGGAAGCAGAGGAGGCATGTTGTTGAGCAAAGCACCTAGGTCTTCCCCCACCACCCACTGAACATGGAATAGAGGCTACCCATGAAAACCAAAGCAGCACCTTCCGTCTATGCCCTCCCTCCGTTTCTTCCAGTCTGCTGTTCTCAGTAAGCCGAGTCAGAATTCCCGACCCTGTTACAGTGTTGCCTTTCCGTCTCACCTGTTTTTAGATTATTACCGCGTCTACCACCTGTCAGTCACGTATAACCTGATATAATACTTCGTAAGCTGCCCAGTCTTGTTAGGTTTGTCCAGTGTCTGCAAGCTTCAGCCTCAATACTTCATAGAAGGTCGTCCAGCGGAACCGCAACCATCTCAGCAACATCTCTCGATTCAACCAGCCACGTTCATATTTTTATTTTCGACAACAACGTCTCCTGACAGTACCAGAGCGTACGGCACGGACCACTCAATTCCGCGTTGAAAGTATTTCTACGCCGTCTATTGATACTTGGTTTCTAAGAGCTTCCGAAAAAGCTCGGATTATCAAGATGGCGATTTCGAGAGGATTTCAACTATTGCTAGCACTCCTTGCGGTTGCGACCGTTGTTTCTGGTAAGCCTGGCTGAAATTATCCGCCTCGCTCGCAATGGTTCTAGCCGTTCCCGCTGCTCGACAGGACGAATCTTTAGGGTCTGATGTTAAGCTTTTCTCTCTCCTTGATCGAGTTGTTTCTATTGCAACACGTCTTTAAAAATGCGAACCCTACAATTTCTGCTATTTCACAATACATCCTCCCTCTTTTCCAACCACGAAATGTCTGTCGCGTTTCAGGAGCGAAGAAGCTAAAAGACGGCAGTCGCTGTTTGCTTTCACCAACGTTAAAGCCCATCGTCGAGTGTGAAGGCGGGCCAGCCACGTGAGTCGTTAATTCCCGTCCTAAAATTCCCGTCCTTCCAACCTCGTCAAACTGCAGCGAGGTAGTTCTGAGTCGATTCAAAAGTAGACACTTCTTCTAGCATGTACCAGCCTCTCCTTCACGCGCGTCAAGGATCTCAAACGGTGGCTGGTTTTAGCATGCGCCAAATCTTACAATCGCCGTCTGCTGCCAGCTGTTACGCCGCCAGTCACTGCCTTCAAACTAGGAAGCTCGACCTATATATCCTCATAATAAACCGGTTACAAGGATTTATTCGTTCAAAAAGCCATCCTTCTCGTTTCTTAGCAGCGTCGAGTGACTTGGCATTTCACACTGGCGGTTTGCCTGATTCGTCGGTAATTGATATCAGTTTCCGTTCGGCCAGACTGGCTCGTTTCACATCCGCTACTCCGCATGCCACGTCTATTTGATATCAATTTTATTGCGCTTTATGCCGATTTGGTTATCTTTTCCGTTGGTCGCGGTTGTCAGTTTTTTTATTATATATTCAGTTCGTTTCGCAAACCTTGTTAGCACATCTCCACTGCCGCGTTTGCCTTTTCAGGTGTCTTGTAATGCGGACGCCGAAACCTGGAAATCCGTACGGTCGCTACAAAGGAGTCTGCAACAGCACTTATGAAAGTAAGTTTTATCCCAAAGAAGAGGGGGAGGATGGGAAGGGCGTGGAGGGGAAGAGAGAAGTAAATAAAAACTCGAGGTACCACATTGGACCGCATGGTAGCACGTGGCACACTCACTCGACCGGTTTATCTCCGCATGGTACCACGTTGCACACTCACTCTACCGGTTTATCTCTTATCTCAACTCCCACGATCGCTACCGACAGCGGGACAGTGCTGAGCATTCGTGCCGCACATCCCTGTGATGTGAGCACGAAAAGCATACCGTTGTGACTTCTGGGTCGACTAAATAATGATTCTCACCGACAGCGGGACAGTGCGGCGCATTCGTGCCGCACAGCAATGTGACGTGGGCACGAAAAGCATCCCGTTGTCTCGACCCTTACCTTCATCCCCCTCCCATCCCCTGCGCCCACTCCCCCCCCTCCCCCCCCCCCTCTCAACCCCCCCCCCCCCACACACACACACACTTCTCCCCCCCCCGCGCAGAGGGGCTGCACTGCGCGTTCATGTCGCAGCCCTACGCGGTGCGGGCGCGCGGAATCCATTCGTTTCCTTTCCCCCTCCCCCACCTCTCCCCCCGATCCCCCCGCGTTCATGTCGCAACTGTACGCTGTGGGAACGCGGGAGACACACCTTGGCTTCTTTCCTTACCGTTTCCCCTCCGCCCTCTCCCCTTCCCCCCATCCGCCTACTTCCTTTCCCCGCACGCGCAGAGGGGCTCTACTGCGCCTTCATGTCGCAGCCCTACGCAGTGGGAACGCGTGGCATCCAATCCATTCCCCCTCTGCTTCCCCTCTCTTCGCCCTGTCCCCCCCCCTTGCTCCCCCCCCTCACGCGCAGAGGGTCTGTACTGCGCGTTCATGTCGCAACCCTACGCAGTGGGAACGCGCGGCATCCTCGGCAGCAGCAGCTGCGAGCGGTGCAATTGCAAGGCGGTGCCGGTGCTGATCCCGGGGGGGAAGGAGATCGTGCGCATGGAGGCGCAGTGCGTGTGCCCCGAGGTGCAGTGTCGGACCAACTACCGTGGTACCAGCATCCGCCGATTCGCGTGCCCGCCGCTGCAGCAAACGTACGCATTTGTGATGTATTTTTTTTACCGCCATTGGAGGTCGTTTTCCATTTTCCCTAGCTACACATTGATAGTATTCATGGTATATATCATACTTATACATGGATACTAACTAGAAGGATCAAGCGATGTAGTGTTCCGGGAAACAAAAAGCTGGTGAGGATGGAGGCGCAGTGCGTGTGCCCGGAGGTGGCGTTTCGCACCAACCCAACTACCGCGGAGGCAGCATTCGCCGGTGCGGGTTCCCTATGCAGCAAACGTATGGAGTGTGTTGGCATACTCGATAGGCGTTTCGTAAGTATGCCACTCACGAAACGGCGTAACGTATGCAAAAGGGTGCTAATCTGGCCGGTAGTGTCACTTCTCAAAACCTGATCGGTCGAGTGGGACAAGATGGCAGCGACAGTCATGGAACTCCTTCCCTAATATATGTTTTGCTAAATCCTACCTTGTTCGCCCAATCCCACCCTCTCTGCTCATGTGTGCGGGTGTCTGCTCAATCAAATGGGAGGGGGCAGTGTAGACATTATGGGAGACAAAAAATGATTGTTTTTGTCCCTGTTCTCTCCGCCCACCCTCTTTGCTCATGTGTGCAGGTGTCTGATCAATCGAGTGGGGCGGGGCGGCGTTGACAGCGAGGGGTACAGGAGCGACGTTGGCACATGTGTAGCGCCGCAAGACGGTGAGTGCTTCGAACTTAAAGCGCTGCTTAGTGCAACGGTGGGAATAAGGGCTTGCTAGGGGGCTACAGGATCGACGTTGGCACTTGCATAGCGCCACAAAACGGTGAGTGCTGCTCACTGGAAATTATGGGATGGAAACAATGGGTTGTATGTGATCTGTTCTCATTGAACAAATGTGCTACCGTCCTGTCCTACCTCCTCCCCTCCCAACTCGAAAACTAGCATTTGTTTCTTTTCAGGAAACAAATACGTTGGTTTTTTCCTCCACTCTCTCCACTTATCCATTCCCATCAGATTTCATATCCATGAACGGCAGCCATGCGGAGCCCCTAGCCCAGAAACCTCAACAGACGCTTATTTTCTCCTGTCTTGAATCTGCTGTGCAGCTTTCAGAGCCACCAAAGCAGAAATACAGGTCCTACATGGGGCATGAAGTGGTATGCTCTTGTCATACCACCAACATTTCCAAGCCTGGAACCAAAAACACACTCTTTTTCTCTTCTTTTGCCATTTCCTTCGAAACCCGCCATTTCCTCTGCAGCTTTCAGAGCCACCAACTGCAGCAGTGCGGGTCCCACATGGGGAATGAAGTGGTACGCCCTCGGCACCACCAACATCCCCAAGGCTGGAACCATAAACACACTAGTTTTTTCTCCTCTCTTGTACCATTTCCTTTGGATCCCACTGTTCCCTCTGCAGCTTTCAGAGCCACCAACTGCAGCAGTGCGGGTCCCACATGGGGCATGAAGTGGTATGCCCTCGGCACCACCAACATCCCCAAACCCGGTGATTGGTGCACGCGGTGCAAGTGCGGGCATATGGGGCTCATACGGTGCCGCAAGGTGGCCAATTGCACGCCGCCACCTGGCAAATCGGCCTCGGGATGATGACGTGGCAGTGTTGCTGCTGGCTGTTTTGCTGGTTTGGGCTCTTGGTGAGGGTGATGGGAGGAAGTTAGGATTCCTGCACTGGGCTGTGCTGATTGCCTCATCCTTATGGTTTCAAAAGATGAGTAGATGGATTTTTGCATGTGAGGGTGCTTGAGGGGAAGGGCAAGAGTTGCTTGATGTCTCTTATGCTTCATTGCACTCGATGAAGCTGGAGAAAAGGATAGCAACGTGTCATGGGCTTCAGTTTGCTAGAAAGGGGACGCTTGTACCATAGTGGCTGGCTTCAAGGTGTCTGCCCTTTTTGTTGAAAATCATAGAATTGAATGTGTAACACAATCCATGGTGCTGAATGTGCATCCATAATTTGTCAAATAATATTGTGAATACGTTTTCACAGATGTGATGTGCCTGGTGGCGTCCAGGTGGCGTCGCGTTTCGCCCACGCTCGTTACTCTGTTTACTACTTTCGCGCGTGACTTGTTTGAACAAACCCTGCGATGGCCAAACGCACCGGGGTCGAACCGAAGACGGAACTTGCAAATCACTAGCCATAGGAGGAAACCTGAGCTCATGTAGATGAGACGTTCATCGTTGAACAAGTAATAACTCATAACGGGCTTCTCAATAATGAAGCATAACCTACCCAGCAGCATTTCCCCCGCATCACCCTGATAACCACCTCGTGCCTTTCTGAAGCCGACAGTTGCGAGGAGTTGGCAGCAGGAACAGCCTTTCTCACCATTGTTTTTAGTTGAAACTGAAAGCAGTCGAGTGTCGGCGTGTTACCCTCTGCTCCTCGTCGCGCCTTGGAGATAAATTGCAGTAATGCGGGAGTCACGGCTATAGATTGACTTCGTTCTGAAGTTCTCTGTTGACTATTGTAAGGATCAGTTGTAGGCGGTTGGGTACGGTTTCTCTCTTCAACGCAGGAGTAAACCGTGTGGCTCTATTTCTGAAATGTTGCAGCCGCGGACGGCTAAGCATGGCTCTAGGAATCGAAGAAGCGACGACTCATAAGCCTCAGATTAAGCAATTAGAGCTAGTCCCGACGGTTCACGTCGGTGCCGCGATCGCGCTCGCTCTTTCCTTCGCTCTCATTGGTCTGTACACGTACGGCAGATCCTCTCTTTTCCTGGATCAGTTTACCAGATTCTCTCCTGGTCTCGCCTCCAGTTCACCCGATTACACTGCCTCCGACGCTGCTTCGTTGCATTCTGACGTGGCAGGCGAGCAGGCGGCCACGTCAGCACAATCAGGAAAATCAACCAGACGTGACGAGTTTTGGGAGATCCAGAGACCTCCTCAGCCGAATCAGCTGCAACTCGACCAGAATCAACCCTCTGCCGGCAATCGACCTTCCAGCGATCAGCCCACTGTCGGCGGTCAACCCTTAGCCGCCGGTCAACGTCCCACAGGCAGTCAAATCGTCAACGTAGCCGCTCCTTCTCGCGCTCCTCACGTCGGGTTACCAACCGTCGCCAACTCTTCGCCCGTGAGCAGCGAAACAATAGCATCCCCATCGGATATCACATCCTCCTCAAGCTCAGCAGCTTCTGAAGCTTCTAGTAGTTTACCCTCAGAAGTTCCCTCCCGTCCTAGTGTCGAATCTCCTCCTTCCACCAACCCTCCGGCCAATCTTCCAACCAACCCTTCCACCGACCCTCCGGCCAATCTTCCCACCAACCCTTCCACCGACCCTCCCAGCAAACCTCCCACCGATCCTCCTCTCTCCGACCCTCCACCAGCCCTCTGGACCCGAATCCCAGGCTCCGTGCTTGATTCCCCGGATAAGATCAGATCCTTCCGAGAAAGATTCGATTGCATAGGCCGCGAGGGAAATTGGTCCCACTACGTCTCGCCGCGACTGCTGCCATGGCCGGACGAGATGAGCAAATGCGACGTGGGGCACCTGAAAAAGGGCACCCGCCACGTGGCATTTCAAGACGCGGATCGCGTGGTGGGACAGTTTCAGGAGGTTGTGAGTCAGATAGAGGAGATTGGTAAGATGGGGAGAGAAACGCCTCTGCATTTGCTCAACCAGTTGAGGCAGCTGAAAAGACGGAAGGACGAGCTGATTCGCCAGTGGACTGTAAGGGAGACTCTCAAGTACTTTTGGCTGGTTCCAGAAAAGAAAGGTACGGACGGTCAGGATGGAGCCGCATCGGCAGGCATCAACGACAGAGGATGCGCCGGGCCGTGGGAATGGTTCGCTCCAAAAACGTTCTGCAGAGTTCTCGACAAGCGAAGCGTGCTTATAGTGGGTGACTCAATAAACCAGCTTCTAGCCGACTCCATCGTGTACAATGTCAGGCTGGGAGCTAGGGACCGGGACTCCAGGGTCCAATGGGGCGAGCCGACAGGCTACTGCCAGCGATACCGGAACGCAACGAAGGAGCCAGCAGACAAACGCTGCTGGACCCTTCATTTATGTGCCGACCTCGGTTATTCCGTCCGGATTTTCTTCGTCCGAGACTATTATCTTAATTCCACCGAAGCGGTGAATGATTTCCTGGTGGATAAGGGCTTTGGGGAGTCTTGGATGGATGAGATTGCAGCGCAGGGCGTGTCGATAGTGGTGATGAACCGAGGGGCTCACTTCATTGCAGACGATCAGTTTGAGCGGCAAATGCGATCCACTTTGCTGGCCCTCCGGCAGACCTACCCTGATCTGCTCATTATTGTCCGAAACACCCCTGCTGGCCACCCGCACTGCTGGCTGCACCGGAAGCCGCTTTCTGGGAAGCTTCTTGCGCTGCCGCATGATGATTGGCACTGGGACGGGTTTGCGGGGCAGAATGAGATTTTAAAGAGGCTGGCGGAGGGCGTGGGAGGGGTGTACATGGATGTGAATGCGTCGGCGGTGTGGCGGCCCGATGGGCATGTGGGGCGGTGGGACTGCCTGCATTATTGCCACCCGGGTCCGGTGGATACCTGGGTGCAGCTGCTGTTCAATATGCTGCTGGGGCTGCTGCTGCCAAACAGATGACATGCTGAGATGCCGATACACAGACGGTGAAGTTGTCAGCAAATAAAGGGACCACGACTTTGGTTACAAGCTGTTTCAGTCCCACATATACTCAATTCCAAACAAGATGCATCAAGATGTTTGCAGAAGAAGTATAGTTTATTTATACATTACTGTATTTTAAAGAAAACAGCGATATTCCCCTCGAGACCCTTCTCAACAATATCGGTAGTGAGATTCTTTGTGGCGCACGAGATCTGTCGAATGCAATGGGTGGCAGACGTTTTGATTAGCTTCTGAATGGTTTGTGTGCGCTACACAGTGGTCTAAGATGTCACCCCACCTCGAAGCCACCCAAACCCACCATCTCAGCTCCCAAAAGTGTTCAGTTCAGCTTTCTCCTAGAAATTGCCGAGGCTCCTCTCCTCTCGCCATTTTGCTTTCCTGCATTTTCTCACACAATACTTCAGCTTGCGTTATGCTGAGCCTCCTGAAGTGTGAATCACGGACGGCCCACCTAGGATGATTAGTACGCTCTTATCAAAGAATGGTGCTTCTGCGAAATGTTGTAGTTATAAATAATTGATGTGACATCAATATTATGGATCAACGCAGAAGTGTCGTTAGCTATCAGTTGTTGCTATTCGACGGTTCAACGACTTCTTACGGACCATGGTAGTCACCACGTCTCTAGGAGCAGATGAAGGCACGACGACCAAATCTAAAAATAGGCAAGTCGTGAAAGTCTCGACGGAACACGCCCGCATCGCAATCTCTCTCGCTCTCGCGTTCGCTCTCATTGGACTGCACACGTATTTCATTTTCTTTCTCCCGATTCGCAATATCGCTTCAAGTTTCACCGATTCTACCGCTTCCGTTGCTGTCCCGTTCTTAAGTTCTGACGTGGCAGACGTGGCCGCGGCCACGTCAGCGTTATCAGGAAAAGCATACGGACACGACGATTTTGCAGAAGTCCAGAAGCCACGTGAGCCGAGTCAGCTGCGACTCGACCCCTACAACAGCAATCAACCGTCTCCTCCTCCCACCAACCCTCCAAGTGACCCTCCCAGTACCAAACCTCTCACCAATCTTTCCAACAAATCTCCAACTAATCCTCCTACCGAACCTCCCACCATCCCTTTTACCAAACCTCCAACTAATCCTCCTACCAAGCCTGATACAAACCCTCCTTCCGAACCTCCTTCCAAACCTTCAACCAATCATCCTACCGAGCCTCCTATCAAACCTAGTTCGGACACTCCTACCAAACCTCCCACCGAACCTCCTACCGAACCTCCTACCGAACCTCCTATCGAACCTCCTGACAGACCTCCTACCGAGTCTCCCGCCAAACCTCCTACCCAACCTCCTACCAAACCTCTCACTGATCCTCCTACCAATACCAAACCTCCTACTGAAACTCCTACCAAACCTCCTACCAAACTTCCTCTCTCCAAGCCTGACCCAAGCCTCTGGACCCGTATCCCAGGCTCCGTGCTCGATTCCCCCGATAAGATCCGATTTTTTCGAGAAAGATTTGATTGCATAGGACGGGAGGGCAAGTGGGTGTACGACGACTCGCCACGGCTGCTGCCATGGCCGGACGAGATGAGCAAATGCGACGTGCGCCATCTGAACAAGAGCTCTCGCAACGTGGCGTTTCAATCAGCGGATCATCTGGTCGGGCGTTTCAAGAAGGTTATGACTCAAATAGAGGAGATAAATGGGAGAGGAAAGGAGATTCCTCAGAAGCAGATTGACAAGTTGAAGAAACTGGAGAGATGGAATGATACTCTGAGGCGTCAGTGGGCTGTAAGAGAGACTCTTAAGTATCGCTGGGTGGTTCCAGAAAGTGATGCAGAGCAGCAGGATGGGGGAACATCAGAAGCTCGCAGT